TAGAGAGTTCTCATGCTATTGAAATCTTCATGTTGTTGCCAGCGCCCTCCCTTTTGTATTAACGGGGGGACGTTTCAGACACGGCAAGTAGAATCGGAGCATGATCCTACTCGTATACACCTGTGGGTGGCAATACCTTGGATCCACAAGGGATTTCCATGTGATCATGCTATATGACGCAAAATTTGACCGTAAATTGCCAGGTGAGGACTGCACTGAAGTTTCTGGGGTGTGTTATCGAGACACTATGAAAATGTCTTGGACAGTTAATATCAGGCGAACGTTCTCGGACGACCTCCACCAGGGCGGATTCGTGCTATGCGCCGGTTCAATGTCAAGAAAAAGTTAGGAACCTGCGGATTGGTGGCTGAAAGTAGAAAAGAGTCTACAATCAGGACGCCAAACACAAAACGAAACTGATGCGGGGCCACTAAAACAACCTTCACAAGGACGGACTGCGTATGCACAATGCTCTGAGCCACTGCAATGGTGCGGTTTGAGTGACATGACTGGATGTTCCTAGAGGTAGCTTCAGCCGTTATTCAGGTGGCAATTTACAGATGCGTGTTCCCAAGGCAGGCCTTGTTTTACTCCGTGAGGAGGACCCGAAGCTAAGGTTACCTTCCGGTTAGGATGTGACAGCCGAAATGTTACAGGGGGAACCATGTACCCACTTACGTCAAGTGGGGTGCATACCTGCAATGGGGTCTAAGCGAGGCCATGTGCGGCTGCACCCTGAAACTAAATCGCTGGGGCTTTCGTGGCCCTGCCCCTAATTACCAACGCTCGATCTGTCAATGCGTTAGTGATCGTTTTTTGACCTGGTCGTCTTACGGACCATGGATATAATACCATACAGTACCATCTATCCGGTCGGATCCGATCGTCGTGAGATGGCATGCTAAGCGATTGCCTCGGTTTTGTTGGCCGGTTAATCGCGTAGCCCCGAAGCATGAGCGGACTTGCTACTTGCAGAACTCTCTTAAATAAAGGGGGTGGGGGTCCAGGGGCGGAGAGCGGCGGTAGAAACCATATCAGGTTGACTTGTAAATATGGAGTTGGGTAGCAGGGGACGGCCTTGGACGAATCATGCAGCAGAAATGCTTTTTTAGTGTGGGCAATAGATGAAACTGGCCGCGTGGTATATGAAACCAGCCAAGTACCTCAAAAAAACGGGTAATGCATACGGCTACGCCCACGCAGCTGTGGGCTGGTGATTTTGTGCAGTACCAAGCATGGCACCTATAGAGGTGGAGCCGGGCTGGACCACGTGGGGACTAGAAGTCAATCTCACTGTAATTTTGATCCTTAGCCAAGTTTGATCTGCCTACTTAGTTATGCTCTCTCAAAGAGCCCCAGTGTTTAGTATAAATCCAACTCCGTGAACCATGATTGCCCAATGATACAAGAAAGAAGGATTCTTGATAACTTGGAAAATTTCTTATCGTCTCAACGGTTAAAAAAAACAAAATCCAAGTACAGACCAAGCGCCACATTTTGCTAAACGAATCCGAAACTCACGTTAACGACCGAACCAACTAGAAGCCATGAGCCTCTCGAACGCAGAATCGCCGAGTCTGATTGTGACCATCAAGGATGAAGGTATCGCCATTCTGGAACTGAACAGACCGAAAAAGAGGAATGCATTGTGTCAGGCTTTGATGAATGAGCTGATTGCGGCGTTGCGTCAAATTGATCGCAACCCCACGATCTTCGCTGCCGTCTTGACCAGCTCTGGCCCATTCTGTGGTATGTTGAGATCGGTCCTTATACAGAGAGATGCGTGGGTATTGACACGATGATCAGCTGGCGCAGATCTAACTGAACTGGCGAAGCTTACGACAGCTGAGGCGTAAGTATACCCAACTATGGAGCGGAAAAGGAGCTTCCGTTGACCTATCATGCCGTCGGCAGGACCCGTGTGGGATGGCTCAAAGACCTCGATGAAGCATTCTCAAGTTTTCGGAAGCCTATTCTGGCAGCCGTGAGGGGCTTTGCAGTGAGCCGGTTATCCCCCACGTCACTTAACAGGCATGCTGACAGCCCGTACTAGTTAGGCGGTGGCTTTGAACTCGCACTTATGGTAAGGACGAATTGCCCCGTGCATTCCACCAATGCCCGATTGGCTTGATAGCGATTCTGAGTAATCGCTTACTGTTGGAGTCGTGTGCTTTGGAGCGGGCGCTAATGACGTGCAGTGTGACATGGTTTACGCAACAGCAGATGCGCGATTTGGTTTCCCAGAAATCACCCTTGGCACGATACCGGGAGCGGGTGGCACGCAAAGGTGAGAGCGAATTACGTCTTCTGGCTGACATGTATTGACCTCATTCAGACTCACCAAGACGATTGGAAAGCAGAAGGTATGTTCCCAATTCGTAGGCTAGGCAATATTATGCTAGCATTTTCCTTCTGTTGAGCAGCGTTCGTATTAACTCACTAGGCAATGGAACTTATATTAACCGGTGCAACCACCTCGGCAACGGAGATGGAGCGTCTAGGCGTTGTGAATAGGGCTGTTCCCAACGGAGAAGACGTATTGGAGGTGGCAACAGCAATGGCACGGACTATTGCATCGTTTTCAGCGCCAGCAATTGGCCTAGCTAAACAAGCTGTTCTAGCAGGTGAGAATTGTCTGTACGCCCGTATCCCCAGGCTAGGAAGTTGACAGAAAGCAGCGGAGACGACAACCTTGAAGACAGGGTTAGAGATTGAGCGTGCATTGTACTACAGCAGCTTCTCGCTTGAGGATTGCCGGGAAGGGGTGGCGGCTTTCAAGGAGAAACGAAAAGCAAATGTCCAACACCGTTAAATGGTAGGGGTAATGGAAAGCTCGGAGTAAATCGTTTGTTGGAACCCCCGATTCGGGCCTTTTAAGCGTACTAGGCTTTTTGTGATAATACGTCCGCGCCATAAATTAATAAGGTCTTTATCGAAGCCCCGCCACGCGGACAAATTATATGCGGGGGAGCTAAGCGCTCCGACAGGTACCATGAGACTGGCTTGGCAGTGATATGTGGCTGTGTTATCCCTTCCGGCTCGTTGCCAAGGGTTTGTATTTTAGGCTGCACGTTGCAACATCCGATGCCAAGATATCACGATCCACCCTTGCTGAATTGCGCACGAGGTGTCTGACAGCTGTAGTCAGACGCGGATGCGCCCGTCGGGACGTGGTTTGGAAGCGAGATGTGTTGATGCTCAGATCCGCCTTGGCCTGTCTCCCAGAGCTGACGACTGTTCCACATCACCATCAAGCCAGCAACGCTGTGAAATACGAAGAGTACAATATACAATGTGTGCACGAGGAACAATCAAGATGGAACCAGAGCCTTGGGCCATCCCACCGTTGTCAAGCCGGCGTTTATCGTAGTCTGGTGCACTAGCGGCGTATAGCTGAAGCGTTTCCAAGGATCAACCTAGTGTCCCTGCACAGTCACGACCACTGTGCATTGCTTCAAGAAGCATTGTATGGTAAACTGATTTACACTGATTTTACCAAGAACTAAACTATCACAAGCTGTTTGCGAGGATGTAGACGATTCTGTGATATTCAACAGGCGTTCCTTGCAGTAAGATTGGAGACTGCCGTCTGTGAACAACGATTGAACAACAAAACCAAGCATGAAATCCACGCATAATCAACTTGTCTCGTTCTTCGTACAGACTATTATTACACAGTGTCAACGATAACTGCGTCATCTGATATTGTTTGGTAAACTAGGATTGCACGCAATGCGCATCAACTAATCGTTGCTATGCTTGAATTTTCCTATTTTTAGTAACCAGTAAGAAAATGCAAAAAATCAAATACAATAACAAGCCACTATGGATAGTACCGAGAGAAAGTCCAGCTTTGCTTCTACGTACTTCTAGCTACGTTAGCTGCTCTTACTCTTGGCTGGAGTGAGTGAGATTTTAGTGCCCGTGTAGTACCGAGACGCTAGCTTAGAAAAACAAAGACCCAGACCGTCTCAGCATGGGCGTAACGTATGATTTGACATGCTTGTATCTGTTTGGCGTATAATGGTTTATATTATTATTCTTTTTAAAGAATGACAGGCCACAACACAGCCTGCCAGAGTGAGGCATAATAACAAAAGACTTCGCAAGGACCTACTTTATGAGAATAGAGATTCTTCAGGTTAGTCGGATTACGTATCTGTAAACCCTCTAGAACAGTCTGATTACAATGCTAAAGCTGCAATAATTACCTCAGTAGCGTGTTATAATGCCGTGACTTCACCGTTGACTGGAAGTTGTGCGGATGGAAATTATACAGAGACGACCAGACATTCTTAGTATCAAAACTATCTAGGAAGGGCCTATCGCGGAACATGAAAACTACTTTGACAGAACTCAAGTATGTCTTTGGAAAGATTCATTTGAGTGTATGGGCCTTCTCATAACTCACATTATCATAATTTCTATCGAAGTAATCACATGATATAAAATAGATTGAGCGTGGATGACTATGAGGGGTAACATTACTTCAAAAGTCTCAATGTGACAAATCAGATGCTATAGCTTGCATAATTGCATTTATACTATGAGCTGTAGCCCTGATTTGTTGCGTTTGCCGAGGATAAAAAACCCCGGTATCAAAAGTGCCGATAGTGCTTCTCTTAATACGGCCGAATAGTGTAGAAGCGAACGACGAAAACGTGAGTCGCTTAGCCAGCCTCATGCGCAAAACATATTGCATCAACCTGTGACTCTACTGGAGAGCTGACATATATCTTATAGAGCTAGTGACCACCATGAAGTTATGCTGGATTGAGGAGTCAGGGCTAGGTTAGGAGTTTATCTTGTATAGTGATTAAGAAAACGAAAGTTGAAGAGAAAAGCAACAGGGAACGAAAAAGAGTTGGCATAAGTGAATTTGAGCCATCATTGCCATGGCATGACAAATTCGATGTAGAAATGGTAGGCAGCAAGGCCATGTGGTTGCGGATGATTATTGATGGTGGAGGAGTGCTAGCAGTATGCAAAAGACATGCTGACTAAATCCTTGCCGACCTCAGCAGAACGCCTGCTGCAATCACCGGACAAACGCTAACCAGCTCACCCAGCCCTGCAAACTCTGGCGGAATATGGAAATGCACAAAGGCACCGGTAGCAAGAAGGATAGCAAATATATTGTACACAAAACTCCAGCCGAAGTTGAAGGCAATCCGATGGGCTGATTTTCGGCTGACAGTTATCGCGATGAGAATGCCGGACAGACTCGGTCGCATGAGAACAATATCTGCGGCGGATTTAGCGACGTCAGTGCCTCCGTTCATATGTACGCCGATGGTGGCCTGGGCAAGAGCGACGGCGTCGTTAGTTCCATCGCCACAGAACATGACAACGGGCCCTCTCGCTTTCTTTTTCGGTCCGCGTGGGTCAAATGTGGCGAGGAGTTCCTTGATGTAAGATTGCTTGTCCGTCGGAGTGCAGCGGGATCGCACATTCGAATTGGGAATCTGCAGTTGAGATGCGACCGCTCTGACGGCACCATCATCATCACCAGAGAGGACATGAACCGTTATCTGGTTTTGCTGCAGCTTGGTGATGGTAGAAAGAGTATCCGCTCGCAGAGAGTCCTCAAGGCCGAACACGGCAGCGAGGGAACCGTCCATTGTAAAGCAAAAGGCAGTGTAACCCTGGGATATAATGGACTGAACCAGTGGATCGTCCGAAAAGCCGAGCCATCTAGAATTACCTGCACGGAGAGTGCGACCTTCAAAAGCGCCTTCGACACCTCTGCCGACTATGTTCCTAGGGTCTGATACTGGCATGGCTATGATTCCTTTTGCTTTAAGGTGACTTGCAACTGAAAGAGAAACCGGATGTTTGTTGCTCCCGATCAGGCCCAATAACAGAGATTTTGTACTAGGAGAAGTGTCGGGGTACTCTTCTTGAGCGATAGTAAGCTTACCCTGAGTCAGCGTCCCGGTTTTGTCGAAAACAACATGAGTGGTCTTGTACGCGATTTCGATAGCATCGGCAGATTTGAAAATAACGCCTCTCTCTGCGGCAACACCAGTTGCAACGACAATTACCATTGGGACAGCAAGACCAATAGCGCAGGGACAAGACACGATCAGTACTGCGATAGCATATGTAATGGCTTGAATAACAGCCTCAGACCCGGATCTGTTTTGAACGGTGATGCCTATAGCAATCCAGATGCAGAACACAACGACTGTGATTGAGACAACAACAGGAACAAAGCAGGCTGCCACTTTGTCAGCAATCTCCTGAACTTTTGGCTTAGACAGCTTTGCTTCGTCGACCATTCCGGCAATAGTACTGATGGTGTTGTCATCAGGAATTCGGGTGAGCCGAACGGTTAGAACTCCTGATCCGTTAATAGATCCAGCAATGACAGACGAACCCTTGAACTTTTCGATAGGTCTTGATTCGCCAGTCATCATAGATTCATCAATCTCAGAAGAGCCAGAGATGACGGTCCCATCGGTCGGAATCCTGGAGTCGGGAGTTACTTTAAAAACATCGCCATACTGAAGTAGTCTGGCATCTATTTCCTTCTCAACCTCATCTCTATCTATGATGGTAGCAGTCGATGTTTGCAACGAGCGAATCGAAATGGATTCGACAGCCTTTTGCCGTGCCAACGCAGCAATATAGCGACCAATCATGATGAGCGTAACTAGCAATGTGCTAGTTTCAAAGAATTCACCGCTGGATAGTGGCTTGTGCGCAATGAGATAGCCGAACGCCACGACGGAGAAGATGTATGCGGCGCTGGTACTCAAAACGATAAGCAAATCCATCTCAATTACTCTCGAGAAGACCAATGCTTTGAGCGCTTTAGGATAGAAAGGCCCAGCAACCACAAATTGAATCATGGTAGCGAGAGCAAGGGAAATAGAACCGAACAGGATCTTTCTATCTTCTTTATTTGGAAGTGGAGCCCACGCCAGTACTAGAACGGGAATGGTCAGGATAATGGATAACAAGGTCATGTATCCGACCTTGCGGACATGTTTAGCACTGGCGTCTAGGGTAGGATCGGCGCGAGGCGGGGCGAGTTGCAGACAGTAGGGCCAGCCCTTTTCGACAAGATCTCGCGAGCCGATGGTTTTGGCGTCAAAATTGACACGAACGGTCTTCTTGTCTACCACGTTCACGTCAATGACACCGTCTGGCCAATCGCCTTTGACAATATCGGCTGGATCACCACGACAAACGAGATCGAGGCTGGAACCTTGGTGAGTGACGCGCTCGCACTTAAACTCGGTCGTTCTCTCGAGATGTTTAATTGCATCGGCAACGGAAGTAGAGCTGGTATCGAGGTCAAATTCCGCCCGCGAAAGGACCAGGCTAGTCTTCAAATTGGTGACTGCGGGAAGTGTTGCCAGAGTACGGGATAATTTGGTTTCGCATCCAGTGCAAGTCATCCCCGAGATGCTGAGGATCACATACTCCAATCCAGAAAAGCCCATTTCCAGGTCCATATTAAGGGTTGGGTCGGGCCTGACTTCCCTTTCCTGTGTTACTGTCTTCTTTTCATTGCAGCAGGCAGTAGCGCATACTGCCGGGAAAGATTTCTTGTCGTCACAACAAGTATCGGCGCATTTAGTGAGAGTATTAGCCACCGAAGGTTTTGTGGTTCCACAACAAGCACTGGTACAGGAGGTAGCGTTGATAGTGGAGCATCCTTTAGTGGACCTGGGGCGCGGCTTTGCAGTAGATATACATGCGTCCGCCTTAGACACACCGTCAAAATCGGCAGATGTACAACACGTGGCTGAATCACCTAATTTCGCCTGATCACTCTCCAACGAAGATCGTCGTGGCGGCGTACAGCAAGAATCCTGGCCAAGAGTGAGCAGCGTGTGGCAGATACAGCCTAGCCCTTCCAGTTTGGACTGATACTGTTCGTAGGCCCCGCGGACGTGTTTCCGACACGCCTTGCCTTCCTTTCCTCCATCGCAATCCGAGGGTCGATCGGGTGTTCTGTTAGCTATAAAATGCATATATCAGTAGTGGAATGGTAGGGCATGGGATGGGGATTTACACTCAGCGGTACACTTGCGGAGAGCAAGTCGGTCGATACAGGATGAATCGCAACAAGGCAAAGATCTCCCCTCGCAGCAGTTGGAACGCTCTCGGCACTGTGGCTCAATGTTGGCAGGCTTAGAGCAGCAGGAGTCGCCCTCATTTGGAGTCTTTTCGGTTGCGCCAACAAAGGAATTGCCTTCTTTAGTATTCGAATGTTGGTGCGAAGATGAACAGCATTCGTCTCCGCAATTTTTGGTAGAGCTGGCCATAAAGTCGCTTTGGGACTCACAGCAACTATCTGCGCCTCTATCAACCAATGGCAGAGTTGGTATGCGCGCGACGGTAGGAGTGGCCTTGGGCGAGCCGCAACACCCAGAATCACAGATCATAGTGACCATAGAGATACTAAAAGGTTAATCACAAAACAGGATGTGTATCAAATGTCATAGAAGAGTGGAAGAGTAAGTTCTCTTTTGCTTTCTAGTTAGCCCACCAAAGACTTGGCGATGACATATCGATTTTCGCGGTATCCATCACAGTATAGCGATACACCTTTTATGACTACTCTGATTCTTATAGTATATAGTTCTTGTAAAAAGACAGTCCTTTTATCCAATACCCTTCTATCAACAATGTTCCCCAGCCAAGTGATCTCTGTAATACTAGCTGGATTACTATGATAAACGAGATTGAGACTTTCACCAATGGTTATCTAGGAATGCACTATTACTAATTCGGTACAACCCTCATAGTCTCAACTCGACCGTGGAAAATGTCGGATCTTCCACGAATACGTGCTTGTTTTTTACCAAATCTTCAACATCCCATTTAGAATGCAGAAACCGACCCTTCGTGAATTCAGCCTCTGGACTCGCTAACCAGACTGCGAAAGAACCTGGAAGCGATACGTCATCCGCGATGGGTTCGAACATTTCTTTCGTGACGCCGAATCCTTGGCTAGCAGGTGTAAAAACTGTCCCAGGTTGGAATGAGTGGACTCTGATATCTGGATTCTCAGACTGTAGGTGGCGCATCACTATCGTAGTAGGGTACTGTTAGCAAAATATTCAAGGTGTGTTAGGTGTTTTATAGCCGCCAATTTGTTGAGCAATTCAATGACAAGACTGCGGGTCCGCTTACAGAAAGTGAAGGCTCCTTTGCTAGCCCCATAGGCAGAGATCGCTGGGTTGATGCGATGTGATGCGCTCGAAGACACATCGATCACAGTCTTTTTATGAGATGATGGAACTCTGAGGAAATGGCGGACGAGATTCATATTGCCAAAAACGTTCGTTGAGAAGCAGGTTTCGAAAAAAGGAGGATCTATCCCGACAACTGTATTTGGAGGATGAATATAGGCTGCGGACGTTACAAGTATGTCCGCAGCATGAGTCTTTGCCGCATCAACGGCCGACGCAAACATATTTCCGACGCTTTTACTATCCATGATATCGACGGAATACGTAAGGACCTGGGTTTTAGGATACGATTGGCTGATAGCTTTAGCTGCCTCTTCCAGGGTGTTTGCCCTTCTGGCAACAAGCACAATGGTAGAAGCCTCCGCAGCAGCAAAGTGTTGAGCGATCCCGAATCCAATGCCAGTGGCGCCTCCAGTCACAACAACTGTTTTCCCTGAAGCTGAGAGGTCAGAGCGGGCAGGGTCTATGGCTCTGTAGGTCGTTCTGTGCACTGTCTGGACGAAACTGGGCGTATCTAGCCTTCTGTCAAGGGTGTGCAAGTTCTTTGAGAGATCCTGTGCAGTAAGCGCAGACATTTTGGAGGTGCGTTGAAAAAGTTGAATTTGAAACGGTTTGAGTGAAGAGTTTGAAGTAAGAACGGGATGTACTTGCTGAGGATAAGCTTCACAACTGCTTCCCGGTACTTCTATATGTACCAGTAAAGATCGCAAGAGATTGAAAGTGATTGCGATCACAAGCTTGGCAAGCTTTACAAATCCATTCTTTCCTTCGGAACCTATGAATTCCCAATAGCACCAGTTCCCGCACTAGATTCGGAGACTGAAAGAATCCGGTCACTGAATACGTAGTGGCATCATGAACGCACGGTATGCTCTGATGCAACCGATATAACCGGGAAATGACGATCTCTTCCAGCGGTGTAAATCTTCCTAAAAACGGTTAAAAGGTTACCCACCTATATGCTAGGCTCTGTATATCTCCTGTTACCGATTGGTTATGGAGTCGTCAATAGCCACATATCTTGATCTTCTGGTTATATCGGTTACATGAAAGGTACAGCTGGTGTGGAGCTCTTGATTTTGTCGCAAGATGTGGTAGATCCTTGCATAGGACAGTACCGAAACTAACTCCGTCCAACAAGAATATCCTGGATATTCCGGACGAAGTCGGACGCACTAAGCTCGAAAACCAGGAAAATGCAAAGTGTTACAGTGAAACTCCTATAGCATGTATAGCGGATAGTAATATAGTTAGATATGAACTGGGCGAGGATATTAGAAGCTCTGGTGTGCAGCTCTGGTATTCTTGTGCCAGTCTCTTGGCCCGGTGAGTTGTTTATAGTGCCTTGCAAGGCCTCCTCCAGTTGTTGTATATATATATTTAATAAATATGAGAGAATGGTGATTAGCTCAAATATCATAGAGATAAGTAGAGTACGACAAATGTAGTGAGAACCATTTATTCGTGTTAGCTGCTTACTTAGTGCACAAAATTTGGAGTATGCTCTATACATCCCCTTCTCGCTTTTGAACTCGTGCAAAGAAATTGTACGAGTGAAGCCCGGCTCTATTAACTTGATAAGTATAGATTTTTATCAATAGAATATGTTACTTACCCTGAAACAAGTGTCCAGTGTACATTTGGCTCGGGGGCTTGGAAATCTAAAGATAGGAGAAGAGATGGTACAATCTAAGAGTAACATCAATCTTATTTCTAAGCCCGTTCTTTGTTTAACAACGACATACCTTTCTTAATAACTGCCACGCAAGGTCTGAAGATCGTCGGTAAGTGGCGGCCAGATGTAAGAGAAAGGTATTTTCCAACATACTTTTACCGAGGCATGTCCGGGATCCGAGACCAAATTCCATAGAAAATCGAGCTAGAATCAGGAAGTCAAACGCCGAAGTGAACCGTAATATTCAGAAAGGAACTTACACATATTTGGTTGGCCACGTTCTAACCACCTTTCGGGTATGAAAGATGTCGGTTCGGGACCAAAAACCTCCGACAAACGATGCATAGCGTACGCTGGAGCGCCGATAGTTACCTGCAAACCCTACTTGTAAGCACAGTGAACGCAGAGAATAGAATACCGACACTACATACCCCTACTGGCACGTGATGGCCGAGTATTTCCGCTCCACCTTTCGGTACCTCTCGAGGTAAGATGCCTCCAATGCTGGGAAGCACTCGTAGCGATTCTTGGATAACCGCATTTAGATAAGAGCATGCAGCGGCCTGTTGCGAAGTGCAAACGATATCCAATTTCCTGTCATTCACATGCTGATGAAGCTCCTGCATGAGTTTATCGAGCTTATCTCTGTTGTGGATGAGGTGGTAGAAGATAGAGTTCAACAAAGCGCCACCATCGGTACCGCCAGCTTTCAGCCCGAAATCGATGATATGTGCCAGTTCCTCATCTGCGAATATCTCAGACCCCTTGGTAGACTGCACTGCCAATAATTTTGATGCGAGATTCCGTTGATTTGGTCCCTGCTTGGTGCTGCTTGTATCTTTCAGGGCCTGGAATAATGTTTCCATCGTTTGGTCCACCCCAGCTGGCGTGTTTGCTTGAGGAAAGAACTTTCCGGTGATGAATTTCTTAGCTTTTGAGACGTAGAACAATGCTGGTGTCATTCCGTAGAGATGAGCCCGCTGAAGGAATTGTGCCAGTGCGTAGAAAGGCTCATCTTCAGAACAACTACCGATATAGTCCTGATTTTGTCCAAAGGTCATATCACACATACAATCTGCGGGGCGTTAGTTGTATCGAATTAGCACTTAGAAAAAGTGTAATACCAAACATAAGCCTTTCAAACCATTTCCCCAAATCAATATTTTTTCCTTCTGTTTTTCGTATTTGAGCGATAAAGTTTCTGATTGAATCATCCACATTTCCATCCAATTCTCTCAGCCCAGTAGCACTGTACAAATTTGAATACTGCCTCCTTAATTTACCGTGGACACTTTCGTTTTTCTCAACAAAGATGTCAACTTTTGGACCGGGCACGCGGAATGGTTGATAGTAATCGGTCTTCGGAAACGGCGCCGCAACGTTGTAAATTTTGCGAAAAGCAGTGGCATCTGTAACACTCCTGACCGCGTCATTTCGTATGAGTTAGCGATTCAAAACTTGACGGCAGGTACGAACGCACAACTTCGACGGGCCTATGCGAACGAGCGGGCCATAACGCGCATGCAAATCATGCAATGCAGAATGTTCGCTACATGTACGGATTAGACGCACGTGCCATAAATCCGTAATCCGAGCCCAGAATGGTCCTGGGATCCGAGCCAGGGGAGAAAAGAAGAGATTGTAGATGATCCGAAATGTAAAGAGCAAAAATAGTACACTGAGAATTGCGAGTGTACACTGAAATGTATTCATTCTGAGATTGTTATACAACAAACTCGATAAGAGTGCCATCTTTGTAGCCCAACCGAGTTCAACTCAAGATATGATTGTCGATTAGAGTATTGTGAAAACTGTACAATGGCATCGTGAGGTGTGAGCTTTTGAATTTCTGGTTAATTGCGGACTAATCGATATTTGGAGATGTCGGGAAATCCGGATTTCAGCTTTTAGATGTTGCCGGACAATCCGACATCTTCAATTATCCACAATATCCCAGCTTAGACCAGTTTCCGATAGTGGAATTTCTTGATTCGAGATTCCTTTTCGAATGCGCTCTCGACTACGTGATTGTAGCACTTGTGTTTAGTATAGAACCCTAGGCCGCAGCTATATGTCACGTGTAACCTTACGCCTCCCATGATTACTAGCCCGAATCTTATAGCACAGCGTAGCGAGCGCCCGCTTGGACACGTTTAGAATTCGTTTACACCTGCTATCTATTTTCTACACGTAGCTCATTGAGCTATGTCTTGTAATTACCCTTACACGTGCTCTTTTCTAACGAACTCGTGTTCACGTCTGTACGTCCCCCTGACATCATGGTATTCGAAAAATAGTAGAGACACTATGTCTAGTGTGTTATACCTTGACCCTTGCCAATCGCGTGGGGTACAATCGGAAAATCCGATGGCTGTGCGAGAGGAAATGCTGACGAAGCGCCACCAGAACATCCAAATTCCACGACTCGTAATCACCCCTCTGATAGGATTTATTGGTATCGAAAACCTCTGTGACGTCTTGAGAAGATACTACGTGCATCAAAGAATGCAAAGAAGGCCATACATGAACAGCCAATGATGCGAACTTGACGTGAGGCTTGCGTGGTGCAATTCTTGTGCAGCTCCCAAACGGCCCTCAAAGGACTAGTCGTTGGTGATTCGCCTTTAGCGTCGGAATATATAACGAGCATATCATATGAAAAATTCACAGTATGAAACCTCACACCTACATCCAGCACACTAAACGGAACTCCACACCATGAATCACCCGCCATATGAAAGACATCCCCATCATGCAACACCCGGAACAGGCACCGGCCCAACCGGCCCCTCACTCGCCCCGATATTCGCTTGATGCATACTCCTAACCCCCCAATGATCCGGATAATCCACCGCCGAATGAAACAGCTGATAATTCGCCCATATAATCACATCCCCCTCCTCCACCCTCGGCAACAGCACATACTCGGGTTTCAACACACGCTCCTGGATCGGCCGCAGCCAGTCGCGTATCGCAGCCACGTCATCGACTACAGTCGGTTCTTCGTGCGGACTGGAGCGGAAAAAGGCGCGGCGCACGCAGATGCCGTGGACCATGAAGGCGCGCTCGTGGGTGACGGGGTTGAGCCAGACCATTGGGTAGCGTTTTACGTGTTTTTCGTCGTAAGGGGGGAGGTCCGCGAGGGGTTTCTCTTTGCCTTGACTAACGACCCCGAGGCCGTTGGGGTGGCCTTTGCAGTCGCTCATCCATTGGTAGGGGTGCGGGGCGTATTCGATCCAGGAGTGATCTGCGAGGTTCTTCTCTTCTGGGGTCATCATGTTGTAGGTTTGTACGTTGCTTATGAAGGCGGTGAGACCGGGTTCTGTTTCCAGGGTTTGGCCGCTACCGTCGTCCCAGTGGATGGTCAGAGTGGGAGCTGTGGGCCGTTGGATGCACCGGAGCGTTGTGAACCAGGCTGGATCGCGGGCGTAGAGGGGTGCGTCAATGTGCCAGCGTTGGAAACGGGTATGGCCGGCTTCGTATTCTTCGTCTGTGGGAGTGTTATTGTGCCATGCGTGAAGAATCCCTTTCTTGAGTGTGACGTCTCTAAGTCCATAGTGGTCTTCTCCTTGAAAGCCCTTCCCAATGAGACGGACATTTTCTGCACTGGGTATACCCAGGACGTCTCTCCCTTTCTGAATCCTGAGTTAGAGAAGCGTTGCATCTGATCTCTACCAGGTTGAACATACTGACAGCAGCCCGCCCTGCTTGCTAAATGTTTTTACGTCGCCATGAGAGTGAACTTGTGGAGCTTTGGGGTCGAATCGAGTAACGAGCTCCCACTGCTTGATAGGTGCAAGGCTCTTCTGACCCTTTACAACTATGAGTTTGTGTGTCCAAATGGCATCAGACAACGCCTTTAAGTCAGCATCTAGATACAATCATTAGATCGTCTCAATAGTTTTATCAATACACCCTTATCATACCACTCATGTTTCCAAGATCGAGGTCTTCAATCACTGCACCAAAGTTGTATTTCTCATTTGCACTCTTCTTCAGCTCCTTGATCTCAAAGGTCGACTCAGATGCTAGACGGCCGGGTGACATATTTGAAGTGATTTTTTTTCTAATTGGCCAATATACGGGAACTGCTCTTTTTCCAGGCGTCTTCAAGAAAGAGAGGATGAAATTTGGTTTTGCACGAAATAGAAAACAGAATTGATGTGTTGGCGCCGCTTTAGCGATTCAAATGTAGAGTTGTCAATATCTATATGTCTCGCGCGATGCGCGATTTCCGTTTTTCCGATGCCACCATGCTAGCTGCCCTCAGGCACTCTGAGTGTTATCAAGGCCTTATCTAAGCTCCTATCAAACGATCCTGCATGAAGCTGCAGATCCAAGCAACAAACGCGTGGGGACAGTCGTGTTACAGGGTCCCTGATCCATCGTTTGCGGAGGCGTTATCTTATCAGCATTCTATTGTTCGGCCGAATACCACTCCCTCAGCTCACTAACCCCGGCAGATAATTCCTATGCCAACGCATTTGGGAAGTATCTAAGCACTCCGTCATTACTGATGGTTATCGAGTTACCATGGGGATGTTTCTATGATAGCGTTGACGTAGGATTAGACACGAGTATTTTTAAGTTCACTCAGTTTACTGCATATTCCATAGTTCAGTAGTAGTGTTGTTAGATGCCTCACAAGTTTGGTAAATCGGCATAGTGATTCAGCCCAGTCTCGAGGTGAATGCGCGACACAAATAAAAAGCGGATTATCTATTTAACTTAGAGATCAAACTATGGATGATTAACTGTTCACGCACGATTGACTACTGTGAAAACTAGGAATCAGCCTGGATAGTCATGATGTTGTCACTATCGTGGTTGATGACGACATCGGTTGTGCCCGCATGGTCAAGTTTGGTAAAGTCGACCAAGCAAGCATTCTTTGACTTCTTTACATAATCGATGATCTCGCCCTCTTTAAAGTCACCAAAAGCGACGTAGAACTTGGATGACGGCTGGATCTGATAATCCGCGTTGGGCTCAGGCGTGAAAATGGCGCAGGGGCCGGCATTGGGGCCGATGCCCTGAGCTGATCCGGCAAGACCGATGAAGAAGTGATCTGTGAAATTGTCAATCAGATTTTTGTATATTGTGGCAAATATATGGAGCAAACAGACCTTTTTTCGCCTGGGAAGCGTTGAACTCATCCGTGGTGATGTTGAAGGCCTGGACTTGGCCTTGGTTTGGGTGGTCGCCGTCGTCGAATTGCGGAATTCCGTCTTTGACCACATAGTTCAGGGTTGTTCCCTTTACTTCGGTCTTATCTTTGTTCAACTTGCCCAGATCAACCTTCTTGGTACCTGAAACCATGACATCAACACCTTCGCCCGGCGTGCCAGATGAACTACCGAAGACGGCGTAATATTGTTTCGTGATTTTGAATTCAGTCCTGGTACTATGGGCGGCATTGGCACGTCCAAATACATTGGACCAGATGATCGGCTTGATGCCACCGGCCGCGACTTGAGGTGGCTCTGTGAAGAGGGCATACCTTCGGTCTTCCCCCGAGTCGTTGTTGATGGTAATAGTGTAGACAGTAACCATTTTGAATAAAGAATCTTTGAAATCTGATGTTCTTATGTAAACGAGTTGGACTGGAAGTCAATATATGAGTTGTAGTGTTGACTTTTTGTGATGCTGGATTGAAGCTGGCCCATGTCAGGTCCTTTATACATTTGATCAAGGCGACTCTGAATATCTCGAGCAGGCAATCGATACGAATCTGCTATAGCAGTTTCTAGCATGTGATACGCCACAGCTAAACAGCTCTGTCGAAGTGTCAGGGAGGCCGGTAGTACAACTCAGCTTTGCGACAGAATGCATGCACATCGGTGTGATAGCGTTGGCCAAGATTCAAGCTGACGCGACGCCTAGGCAGCGTGAACTCCATGGAGTACTGGTGAAGGCGAGTTGAGAAGCAGCAATGGTCAATGGGGACTAAAGTGGCTGACTGAGAAGCGAGTAGCTGAGACATTCAGTGAGCCTGGCCTGGAGGCTATGTGCATGTGTCACTGCAGGATGCATGGCGAGGGCTAAGCACGGACAAGCATCCGCGGGCCGCCATTGCATCGCTTAAGCGAGACTGAGGGAAAACTACATGTGGTAGTACTATCCACATGCCTTAGCCTATCGCTCAGTTCTGCCTAGTAAGGGAAACTAATCAATAGGGCCAATGCTCTTGCGATATGGACATGCGAATGGGGTTTTTCTTCTGCATCACGACACTGTTTGTTGCTTCATACCATACCCATCTCAAAGATGGCCAACAATACTCCGAAAGTCCAGATGTCTGATGATGAAGCAATCGGAGAGTTCCGTGATAGCTACTCGGTCGTTATCCATAATAATTCAATCTCCAGCAAAAACTACACGCTTTCCGTCCAGCCGCCGCTTCTGGAGCCAAATGATATACCGGTCAATACGCATGTCATCCGCGTAGCTAAAGGTATCCCCGACAATGGTGGCGTCGTACGCTTCGAAATTCCAAACCAGCTGTACGCTATCTGTGGATACAATGATTTGCCAGCCACATCTCCATTGAGTGAGGATGGTACTATGACCGTCATTGCGAAAGCTACTATAGAGGTAGTGGCCAAGGTGCCTGTCACTCTAGGCTCCCATTCCAAGGATGGCACCATTAATGCCGCATCATCTCTGGCCGTCAGCTACGTAGACGAGACGCTCTCGTTTGCATCCGCCGAGCTCGTATCCTCGCTAACCATCGTGGGTGGTTTTACGATTACTACGGGGGGCGGCTTTACTCCGCATCAAGCCAAGAAAGGTGTGTAGCTGAATGATGACCAAGTCCAGCTGCCTGCATGAGTTAATGTTGGTTAGGAAATTTCTTCCTTGGGCTATGTTCCGGACATGTCGGTGACATTGAAGGGTTCTACGCGACATGGCTTCTACAACCGGACACGACTTACATAGTGCGACCCACTAGAGCCTTTTGTGTCTCGATCGGCGCTCTAGAACCCCGCGCTATCATTGATCCAACGAAACTGAATTCGACACGAACGGCCGTGGCTAACTTCAAGGACAGGAAAGATGGGCTCATCACATTCGAACATGCAATGGATGGTGGATTTGTCTTACAAAGGGCGTCTCACATTTAACATTGGGCATGAATCTCCGAGAAGTCACAGTTCCCGAGGACCAGATAGCGGATCAATTCACGGTCAATTCACTCTACGATTCACTGGCAAATTGCTGTCTGATATCGTCTTTGTCCCACCCCTCAAGCACTTTCTGTACTGCTTGATCCACATTCATCACTTTTACGAACTTAAACAACCTCCCGTCTCTGATGTCCATATAATAAAACCCGTTCTTGTCATCCTCCAACAAATACCCGGTTTCACCCCTCTCTCTAATGACTGGTTTGAGACCTTTGACATCAAAGCCGGTTGCCAAGTTTGGCTTAGTAGGGTCGAAAAAGGTATCCAGATCCAGCTCCTCCTTCTTGTTCGTCCACGCCAACCATGTAGGGAAGTCTTCGCCCAGATCATGGTATTGAGGGGTCATATTTGGATAGGTCTTGGGATTGTTACGATCGCCCTGTCGGACTAGTTAGGCAAATATGTGGTTGTTGGATAATGAGTGCGCTAGTTACGCACATTTTCCGTAACGCCGCCTGGCAGATTTCCATTGCTCTGAATGTTTTAGTACAGTGCTGAAAGTATATAGGAACCCGGAGTTAACTGACCATAATGTGCAGATCGAAGAAGCGCCTAGCGTTTGGTAATGGAGGTCAACTTTGGACGAGTCGATAACAGAAGAGCGTGATTGCTGAGATTTCAGTTTTCAGATTCCAGAAGATGAAAATTGGAACTTCGTAGTTGCGATAAAGGGAATTAGTTGGCGATTCCTGTAGACTGAAAACACTATCGAGGGTGCTGCGGGGTATCAGGTAGTGTGCTGTGTGAAGACGGGCTAGCCCGTTGCTTGACAGAACCTAATTCAGTCAGCCACAAACGATAGCATTTTGTGGCTGTGATTGGGATGGGCGGGGAAGTTGGCACCACTTTTCCATCATGACCAGCCTAGGCCCTATGGTCGCTACTAACAGTCCTTGCAGGGCACTTGAAACTCTAAACCCAAGTGCCGTGAAAAGGGCGCAATGGGCTCATGTCGCCACAAACCATTTCAGCTTCTCTATATCGGGCTTAATGAGCAGTGATGAGGCGTCTGAAGGCTGATTTCCTTTTTGCGCTTAGACGAATAGAAGCTATGCGGGGTAATTTCCGTGTGAATTCACCTGATTGTACAGCTATCGGTGAAAACTAGGCGTTTTTGTTCGAGCTGAATTCATGCGCGTTCTTTCAGTGCATACAGGAAGCCACAACTTCCGAATGGACAGCCTCGAGCGGAAGGAAGGGCTGCGTTTGGCCATATGTATGATCAGCTGTGCATGATGTTGCCTAAGAGGCTTGCGAAACATGTAGTGCTTAGAATATGAAGTGATGGCTTGTGCCGAGCAGTGAGCAACTGATCTGAACAGCCGATAAAAAACATCGCAGAGCAGCACATTGGCGTCTCACCTTCGGCGAGGGACATAACCGCCTCAAAGTCTCAGCTAGTGCCTTGCTCTTCTCTTACTTTACAAGTTTAACCATTTTGTCATAGTCTCTATCATGAATGACCCGTGGGACACTTTTACTGTCTTTCACGGCAATGCCAGGCTCGACAAAAGCGTACTCCATCACAATACAAAATCAGTTTTCGTCGGACCTGGACTACCTCTCGTCGTCGTGGACGACACGTACGCTGACGTGGCCAAATTTTATCAATGGCTCGACAAACTACGAACAGATTTCAAATCTGCAGGTATTCCTGACGACTACATCAAGCCAGTGAGAGATCTCTTGAACATATTTTTCCCTAGAGATGACCGGGGCCGAAAGTAAGCACCAGGAACCAGGAATCCCATTGACAAAACGCTGCTAAGAGATGATAGCTTGGACCCTGTCAGAGTCAGAGCTTTTCCTGGTCCGGTTGGAACTCTTAATCCCATCAAGGTGCCAATTGGACAACCAGGTCATTTTGACTATCTTCAGATCACAGATGGAGCGACAGCATTAGCGTATGTGTTCTCGATAGTAAAACCTACAGTTGCCAAACCAACTTGGACGACATACTACGGACCACTCCTCATTATTTTCGCCCGCTGCATACACTTGGCCTTCGTAATACCTTTCCCTTTCGCAGCCACCATAGCTGATCAAGGCGGAGTGCTCCCATCTGACATTCCAATGATGGCAGGAATCATGTATCTAATCAGCGACAACCCAGTTTTCATGCTCAGTGCCAGCATGATGTACGAGACGGCGAGCACTGGGGCCGTGCAGGTTGAGCGCCAACGAAGAGCTGCCCTCCAAGATCAATGGCGGTTCGAAACACTACTTGGCCAGTCCTTGGATCTTGTGCCCTGGGAGCGGGGAGAGCCAATTGTAAATCTACCCAAGTTTCCCCCTATCTCGGCGAGGGATTTGTTTCGAAACATGTATCTGTCATTGTTTCGACTCAACATCTTCCGTGACGCAATCGTGCAACCCATACAAGCTTCGTTACTTGCGATGTTCATAAACACTGCCCCACCAGATCAAAAAGGAGCGATTCCTCTAGGATTCCAACGCGGCTTCGTTTTTGTAGCCAATCATTCCTTCCTGAGATCGCAGCTCGAAAAGAATCAGCTCGATGAAAATCGAGGAACAAATCTTCTCGCAGTCTGCTTTGACGAAAATGCACCCGATCCAGTATCTTTGCAGAGGGCATTCGAACCCTTGATTACATTTCGGCTTGCATTGCACATGTTCCCGCCCAGAGCACAGAAACTTAACCTCCCTGATGGAAATCAAAAGGAGATCCCGTTGTCTGATCCAGTTAAAGCCGCACTGGCGACCGCAGTTACCGCTTTCTATACCGCAAACATTGCTACGCTATCACAATGGGCATTGACTTTCCACTCAAATGTGATCAGCCGAAGAATCAGGAGTGAAAAGAATGCACCATTTGGGAGATGTGCAGAAACGTATGGAGTCGCATCGATGATGTAAGTACACCTAAAGTCAATAACCCTGTACCACGACTAATTTCGGGTCCGACAGGCCGCGATATTTCCCTGAGACCAAGGCGAGAATGCGCGAGGTTCGTGGCGCCGCGGTCGACATCCGCATGATAGGCCTCCGGGCCTTGGGGGACACGGAGGTATTTGCGCCTACCTTTCCAGACGGCCTAGATGCGACTAAACCCACGGCTTGGAGACGACCGTGCGATAATTGTAAGTCAATGATGCCTGCATTCAAGCTTGGGAGCAATATAGATCAGTGGGATCAAGAAATGAGGGCCTGTACTGGGAAGAACATTCAACAGTAGACGCTTCATGCGAGTATTTTGAAATCATAAGAGTTTGTGCCCTACAAGATCTAGTTGATAGCAACTGCTGGGGGGAACATGGGGCAGCCATACTCCGTACCCACTCGTAGCGCCAAATCGGCCGAGTCTCGGACGCCTTCACTCGTAGACTTGCAGCAGAACATCCGAACTTCCCCACATGTAACAGTTATCTGTGCTCTCCCACGATTACACAGTCGCAGCTGCGTGCACAAATATGTGGATTCGTCAACTATCAGCCAAAAGTCGCCGCCCCAATCAACACGCTGCAGATGATAAGACCAGCCCCATATTTCGCTTGATTAGGCTTGATAGCAGCGCGACTATCTCCACTATCGAGCTCAACATGCCAACCAGCATCCCGGTTGTTCTCGACGCCATATCAACATGATGCGACTTCGGTGCAGATATAGACTGAGACATTTCATCGACGAGATGGAACAGCCGTCACGATGTTGTCCGCGACCTCCCTCCGCAACCGCAGCCATGCGGCAAAAGAAAAGGCAAAGATGCGTCTCACGCAGCCGTCGAGCTGGCAGTTACCCAAACAAAACAGCAGCATTGCCCCTGGTTATGTTTGGACGAATGCGGATATGGAGCCCGTCCCCCCGGAGAAGCGCACATGGGGTAAAAGCGCTTTCATCACATATTGGTTTAGCGATCTAGTCACCATTTCGACATGGAGCTCTGGTTCTGCCATCTTGACAATAGGTATGTGAAATCCTTTTTGCTAAAGAAAATATATGATTGTATGCTGATCCCAGCAGGCTTGACAGCGACTGATGCAGTACTCATTGTGCTCGTTGCGGCCCTATGCAATGCTGTACCAACAGTACTCAACGGAGCGATAGGCTCAAATCTTCACATCCCTTTCCCTATCGCATCGCGCGCAAGTTTTGGATACTGGTTCAGCTATTTCGCAGTCGTCAGTCGGGGCGTCTTGGCAATGTTTTGGTTCGGAGTACAAACAGCGAATGGAGGTACATGTGTTGCCGCTGTAAGTTGCACGTTCATCATTGCTCCCAACGCTTCAGTCTGACAGGAGACCAAAGATTATCAATTCGATATGGCCCAGCTTCCGGACAATGGCAAATCACCTCCCTGAATCAGTTGGTCTTACTACAGCCGGGATGATATCGTACTTCCTATACTGGCTCATCCAATTTCCGTTCCTGCTCATTCCTACGCACAAACTGCAATACATGTTCTGGGTCAAAACAGTATTGCTGCCGCCAGTCGCTATTGGTATGACCATCTGGGTAGCTGTCCAAGCTGGTGGTAACGGCACATTTTTCACACGCCCACCTACCTTGCATGGTTCCGAACGAGCTTGGTTGTGGCTATCGAGCATGACTAGCATCACCGGCGGCTACAGCACGCTCGCGGTGAACATTCCCGACTTTTCGCGCTTCAGCAGAGACCCACGAGCACAGTACTGGCAACTCCCTGTTATCCCATTTTTCAAAACCATGGTCGCTCTCATGGGTATCGTTTCCGCGTCTGCTGCACAGGAAATCTGGGGTAAGGCCTATTGGACGCCTCTTCAGATCATCGACACTTGGATGGATACACCCGGCGGTCGAGCAGCAGCATTCTTTTGCGCCTCTATCTGGTTGATTGGTCAACTGAGCGTGAACATCAGCGCAAATGCCGTATCCTTTGCCAATGATGTCACAACAATAGCGCCGAGATATTTCAACGTGCGACGAGGATCCATTCTGGTAGCCTTCATGGGTGGCTGGGCGCTGTGTCCATGGATCATCGTCGCATCGGGAAAAGCATTCTTGAACTTCATGAGCGCATACGCAATCTTCATGGCACCAATGGCCGGTGTGCTTTTCACAGACTATTGGCTAGTTAAGCATAGAAAGTACGACGTTCCCGCGTTGTACGACCCGCGCGGCATTTATCGATACGGTCGCTATGGCATCAACTGGCGCGCCGCTATGGCGACATTTATCACTATCATACCCTTGCTACCAGGACTAGCCAACAAGGTCAATCCGGATCTGAAACTCACGGAGGGTCTTCGGAACCTCTTCACATTCAACTGGCTTTACGGCTTCTTTCTTTCAATGTTCTTGTACTACTTTTCTAATTTCTTCTTCCCTGAACGCGATACGCTGATCTCGCACGTGGTTACTGGTTTCGAACATCTAGATGGCGTCGATGTGGAATGCGAGATAAGTAGCTACACCAAGGATGGCGATATCGAAGCATCTAAAGGAGGCCCTGAGATGAAAGTATCCCAGGAGCCATGAATTCCAAGTAGTACGACACATCAATATTTAATACAAGCGTATGAGAATAACTACTCCTCAGATACCTAGTATAGATATCTTGCTTTTGGCGTTGAATTAAGAAATATGAGTCAAAAAAAGAACACACCTACACCATCCTACCCTCAAATTCCCAACTCTCCCAACTCCTGCCCCTCCTTCAACCCCCAAGTCCACGTATCCGCCTCGATATCTTCTCCACTCCACATAATCCCACTAACCCTCCTAACCCCATGATTCGTGAACCCCAGCCTCCGAAACAACCCCCTCGCCCCCTCATTATCTTCTTTTGTAAACCCCGAAAAAGCACTAACCCCCTTCTCCTCCTCATAATACTTCATCAGTGCCGCCACAGCCTCAGCCGCATACCCTTTCCCTTGGTACTTTTCCAGGAAAATAAAGCCGACGTCCGGGATTGTGGGCGCTTTGATGCCGTCGAGGCGGGCGAGCTGCAAACCTACGGATCCGATGGGAGTGAGGCTGCGCTCGGAGAACGGAGTTGATGCGTCCGAAGAGGAGGTTTCGGGTCGCAGCCAGACGAAGTAGCGGCCGAAACCTTTGTTTTTCAGGCTCGTCATTGTGTCGGCGATGCGTTTTCGCGCGGCGGCGCGGTCGGCGGCGCTGTTGCCTGTGGAGCCTTGGGATCGGAGTGTGGGTGCGCTGTTTACGAGGTCCAGGGAGAAATCAACGTGGGCTTCATTGGATGGATCGGCGTAGGAGAGGTAGAGTCGTGGTGTGGTGATGTGGAAATTTGGGTCTGACATGTTGAGTTTTTTTACTTGCTTAGACGATGTTGGGGTATGGCGATGGAGGTTAATTACTTTTGTTGGAATCTTCGATATTCAGCATATGTCCTTATATTCTCGGAGTACTACGACGACCATACATGAGTCATCGGATTAGGTAGACGTCGAAGCCACAAACGTTATTAGGATTCGCGCTAGTTAGGATAAGGAAGCTCATCACCTATTCCGGGGCTCCTTGGAATTAGCGACATATGATTCGGAATTCACAAGTCATGATAAGAATTGGTCATCGCATATCCGAGTTGTTAACTCCGAAGGTACAACGTGCGAAGACATTGATGAACCCGATTCTCCGCGTGCAATCACCTGATTCATGTCTCATAATCCTGTAAAGTCGTTTTTACGAGAATCATAATGAGTGTGTTCGTTGTTATTTACTTGTTGCGGTTATTGTATAAACGTTCAATTCAACAAGACTTATATCCCGGACGCCCAACCATACCCTGCTTTCTGAACAATTTCTACCAAATCATGTCGATTTCGTCCTAATCATGTTTGCTGCCTTGGGTACGAATTTTCAGTGCGATGAAGATTCTAGATGTAGAACATAGAATCGCGAATGTTGGGGTGGATTTCCACAGACCCAGGTTCTGCTGCCGGGGCGCTGGTGCCAGTAACCGATGTACCAGCCATAGAAGGTGCTGCGCTCGGCGCGGGAGTGTCATACAGGTGAGCAAGGTAGCACCGTGCACGGTCGCATGCAAGATCAGCATAATATGCTGGAGTACACAAGCTGACGGCCTTCGTCGCCCGACCGTATAGGTAGCACATGTTATGTGTAAGGTCCTCGATAATGTCGGCGATGTTTTGGAAGGGCGCAGGGATCTGCTTGGCATAGATCTGGCGGAAGATCTCATCGTGCACAATGTAATAGTGGCATGGTCGGGCTGTGCCTTGGAGTGCAGCGTGTGCTTGAAGGAAAAAGTCCCAATTGCGGGCTTCCGTCACACCGCGATCTACGACAGTGCCAGGTTGTGTGTTGCCGTATCTATCAGCTTGTTGCACATTCGTGGGGTAGAATCGTGTCTTATGACGCTTGCCGCAGACTACCACGGTGAAGCGCGGAAGACCCTTCTTGGTCTCTGTCGCCGGATACACCTGCTCGCATGCTTTTCGCATCTGGGCCAACTCTTGAGTGAGCACCATGTCGTATTGGCCTTCTGAAACTCCATCCCGATATACGAGGATGTTTTCTGGGAAGGCTTGATGGCGACCCTTTGTTTTCCAGAGATTGAGGCGCGACTTGAGCATCCCAGCAAGTTCATCAACATTCTCCTGTCTTCCTTTTTGGATGCGGAGAGTTGCTGGCCATTGTCCGAGGTTCTTGTCAACTGAAGCGACCATTGCTGAGACAGAGGGCGCATTGCTAGCCGAACCCGGGGCGGGATGAGTGACGTCGATGCCAACTACCATGGTCTTGTCCTGTTCAATGATTCCAAGATTCTTGTTCTCTACTTTCTGGTTGACACCGCCAAGCTTCAGATTGAATTTGAGGGCAACGTTTGCGATGTACTGGGGCCGACCCTTCTCTTTGGCTAGCTTGGTACCAACAGCACAAACGTTATGCAGGCCGTAATCCCTGTCGGCGAGTGTCTTTATACGCTTGTACAAAGGAATATTAGACTCGGGGAGTATGATGAACAGCATTTGTACCCTCCCAACAGCCCCCTTAAGATAGGTGTTGAGCGCAGGGTCGTCCGGATGCTGAAGCTGCAGTCTTTCAGGAGGGGCCGGCGGCTGCGCATCGATACCAATTCTGCGCAGACCCTGATGAAATTCTTGCATGATCTCCATCATTTCAGGTTGTCTGAAAGGGTCCCTTCGGTTGGGAAGTCCAATCATAACGGCCTTCCATTTCGATAGCTGAGCACCGACATTGAACTTGATCTTGATCATGTTCCAGCTACCATCTCGCGGCTCGGCAAATTTGGTGCTATTTCCTCCCTCCTCGTTCTTGTAGATCACTTTTGGTCCTCTCAGGACACGTCCAGGAACTTTGATCAACCCTGGCGTGATGGTAAGGCCGAAAGAGCGCAGAAGTACGTTGGTGTTTTCATCCAGGCCAACAGTGGATATTCCTTCCTGGTAGATGGTCTCAGCGTTTTCCCATGGCTTTCTAACCGCATGTCGTATCATAACCTGAGTTTGCAACGCATCGAGTTTCGCTTTGGATGGCTGGCCGGAAACTACAGCACAGACCTCTGGTGGGAGGTATGTCGGGTTTTCTCGGTTGCCGCAATTTACGACGGGAAGGTCGGGGTATTTGAGAACATAGTTGTACGCTTTGACAACATCGAATTAGCAAGATCTCTAAATACGAAAGCGAAAGGTGGTAGGCTTACTTGTGCGAAAGAAATCAAATACGCTGATGTACTTTCCGGATCCTGAAGCTGTTGGACCTTGTACTGGACCTGGACCTTTACCTTTGCCTTTGCCCTTGGCAGGAGGTGTGTTTTTCCCATCCAGCCAAAACTCGACGTCTCTGGCACTGGCACCATGTTGTTTGACTCGTGGTCGATGTTCCATGCCATGTCCATCATCCTTCCTTGCAAGTCCGTAAATGGTCTTGATCCGAGGAATCACCTCACCCGCTTTGTTGCGTTTCTCCTTCAAGTGTGTGGTCTGGACACGAACCAATTTGAGAAACTTTTCGAGAGCGCTCGTGTTGCGAATACCGTAGCCCTGCATGAGGGCTGGCAAAGGACCGGTGTGGTAAAAAGCCCCATGGCTAACGTTGATGTTGACCAAGATGCGACAGGTTGCAACCCGTACGCTTGAAAAGAATCCACGGATGACTTCCAGACCGGCTCCAAGGTCGCCCCTGGAAGCGTTTTGGTGAAGAGAAAAGCTCTTGGATGATCCGATGGTGGCGAGGTTATTAGCTGACTTGGCATAATGATTCAAGAAGATGTTGAGTGCCTGAGTCAGTTCATCCTTGTTTTCCAAACGCTGAGAAAGATTGGTGGAGTTCATCCAATTCACCAGATCACCGACGTTCAAGGTGTTTGTAAATTGAAGGAAGACTTTGTACACCTTGGCTTCTGTTGCGGGATCGTCTTCGCCCTCGGAACGATATTGGATTTCAACAATGTCCTTATCATTGGTGAACTTGGTCTTGGCCACTATGGTTGAACGGAAATCAGTAGCAATCTGGCCTTTGTACTGCGCCATCTCTGGGGCTTCGAGCAAGAGCTGCACAACGCGGTGGCGTTTCCTGCCCGTAACCTCGGGAGTAATGTCAACGGCATAACGATACAATACCATATTGGACGGCGTGAGAAGCTCGACATAGTTGGCAGTAAGCTCGACCTTGACACCTTGGGTGCCATATCCTGGGCGGGTTGGATAGTCCTCGGAAAGTTTTAAGCTACCAAGGTCAAGGGTCTTCTTCGCCGGGGGATGCAAGGCGTTTTCGGTATTCAAGACCCTTTGGTCCACGGGTCGAGGGTTCCTATAGGCCAGATTAATGCAAGACAGGCGTGGGTAACATGACAGCTCTTCTTACTGGAAGGCCAGGTTTTCCTGCATGCCACCGCCTCTCCCACCACGAAAGCCACCTCGTCCTTCGCCTCGACCCCGACCGCCAAAATCACCTCCTCCTCGCCCACCACCGCGACCACCAAAATCACCTCTTCCATCTCCTCGACCCCTACCTCTAAAGTCTCCTCCTCCTCTCCCACCACCGCGACCTCCGCCACGGTCGCCACGATCGCCGCGAAAGCCGCCGCCGCGGCCTCTATCGCCTCCGCCTCGGGGTGCGTAAGACATGAATGAATGGCTGAGTGAGGCTTTCGAACTGGAAAAACCGGTGTAGACGAGACGAATCCCACCAACACCAAAAAGTGCTCAATCTAGTTTTTGATATCAATACCAAGCGGGTGTATAAAATAAACAAGAGGTAGAATTATCTTCTTAAGTGTGTAGGCGAAGAGACACAAGGCTGAGACAACAACGCGTCGATGCGGGTTAGCAAACGAAAGCGGGGGCGGCGGCGAACGGACCCACAGCTACGCCGCTGACGCTAATCGATAGTCAGACACCCTGGCACTTGCCCAGACATGCCCATCCCTGGTACAACACCATCTTCCCTCACAGCAGGCAACAAGTTTTCCACTGCAACAAAGAAATTGCACCTGATTCATCGTGTCGTTACCTTGTCTTTTCATGCAAACACCGTTTAATGGCTGGAAACAAGCTGGCGCATGCAGCCTGGTCTCTCCACCACCTTGCAGGCGGGCGGCTAAGCCCATGCTTCCATACAACTACGCCAATCGCACTTCGAAGGATTCGCATCCTGGAGTCGCGTCGAAACGTCATGCTGAGAACCCGAATCGCTGCCCTTCTATCTTCTGATCAAGCCCTGGAACCTACCAGTGCTCGTGTCAACATCTCATTCGTGAGAAGCAACCAATCTGTCCTCACGCCTTCTGACCATCACCAATATCTGAATTGCGCCCTTTTCTCTTTCAGTTTCTTGCATCAATGCTGTGGTGCCGGGTATCGCAAATTGGTTGTCGCACGCTTGTGAAAGTTGCGAATCATGTTTTCCTCTCAGCTTACAGTGCAGCAATCGCTACCCAGACAAGGATGCTGGAAACTCATTACAGAGTACTAGTTTGTAACTACTCAAATGCGTTTATTACTGGCTTTATCTCTGAATCGGTCAATCAATCGAACTGGCAAAGCAGAGCTACAATCCGATCATATGGCCGATCAATTTGTGCAGGTCAGGCATCACCTCAGCCTTGCTGTATTCAGTCCAAGTCTGCCGCTGTGGAACAATTGCGGCGGGTCAGAGTATGTCTTTCCACAGTAATTTTTCTGTGCGAGCAAACCCCGAAACAACTCTTGATTGAGACATCGGATGTCTTACAACCACTGTGTGCTGCTTTCAGTGATTGTTGGGTCAGAGGCGAGGCAATGACTACGTGCCGTCTCAACCATTGCTCGGAGGTTCGACCAAGACTCTAACTCAACATGTCTTGTAGACATATGGTAGAAATTCCCAATCCATCTTTTACTCCATGAGGTCAGTCTAGAAAACACACGGAGGTTCCGGAATCTTCTCTTATGGGACCCTGTTCTCCCAAACGTGGCTTTGGATGTCGATTTATCGTTCAACCAACTGAGGAGGTATAGATTCTGAACTATCCGAATGTGAAATGTTACGCGTGGTCATCCAAACTTCTACTGGTGGGGACCACTTAAGCGACGTTATCGATACGAAGACCATCTTACTAGAAGATGTAATGCGTTGTTAGTAGGCGTCACCGCAAGCGGGGAGTTAGTTCTCAGGATACAGCACCAGAACTCAGAAAGATGTGAGTAAATTGTTTTACTTTCAGACTGAACGCCCCCATCCCTTGAAGTGAGCTGCCAACAACGAATCATATGTACTCTCGCAACTAATTGAGCATGTTACCCAAACAAAAAACGAAGCCCACAACAGGCCCAGTTCCGGGCAATTTTAATTCGAGTTTTCATTCGTACATGCTACGATTAATCCATGCAGATAGACGTACTTTCTTCACTGACATCCGGGTCGCTCATCGACGCCAACTCAACTCTTTGACGCATGGAACAATTTAGTTATTCGTAGACTGTTCACAGCATACAAAACCGGAATCCAAGTGAAAATGAGATGAACAAAAAGCCAGCCAATTACGTTTCTAGAATACGCGCGCGAGAACGATGAACGGTGAATGCCAAGCCATTCTCATAGTGAGACCTGCACTCGCGCGGCACAGTAAAACCTACTTAGCAATCCCCCACCTTACGACTTCAACCTTTACAAGCCACTCATCGCAAAACAAAAAGTTGTATTGAAATCATGGACGGTTTGAAATTCTTTCAAGCTTGGGACAACTTCCTCGGCCTGTTTCGAGCTGCTAATATGCCGAATCAAAACACCAACCCTCCTTCAGAAGACCGAGAAGTTCCCCAAGACGAGCTTGGGGATCATGAAGAACCTCTAGATAAAGACGCTCCTTCTGAAGATGACACCGACAAGCAAAGCGACACTGGAGGCTCAGAGGATCACTCGGAGACTGACCCCACTGACCCCACTGACGACACAAACGCCTCAGAGCCAGACAACGTCGGGCGCGACAACCCTATACCCAGAGTCAATGGTAGCATTGCAGTAGCTTTCAGCGTATTCTGCCGACAAGCATTCGACTCTGTCGTAATGAAAGTTGAGGTGACTGTATCAAAAGTCAAAGACTTCATCAGCAATGCCATTCAGACTTTCAAGGAAAAAGGTTTTTGGGACACTGCAAAGGAGGCCGGAGCGTGGATGAAGGCGCATCCATGGGAGACGGCTCGCATAGTCGCACCTATTGTTGCCGTGATAATTACAGCCATCACGCTTTTCGCTGTTGGATTCGGACCCGCTGGCGTCGCAGCTGGTAAGTATTCAATTTTCATACCGAAAGACAGATCATGACATGCTGACTTATCTTAGGCAGCACAGCGGCCATTATTCAAGCGGGCATCGGTAACGTGGTCGCGAACTCCCTGTTTGCAACATGTACAAGCGCGATGATGGGCGGCTCCGGTGGTCTCATTATCTTTGGGGGCGTTTGGGCTATGTCGACTGTGACTACTGCAGCTTCAATGTCTGCTTGGAAGCGATGGAAGAGCAGAAATGACCAAAGTGTGGTGCTATTTCCGGGAGTGGCACCAAATGATATCTCCAAGAAAATGAAGGACGCCGCCGAGAATTTCGTGGTTGGGTCCATGCTATTAGCTGCATACGTCACTTACCGCATCAAGAGTTGGTTGCAGTCACGCAGGCGAACGAAGAGTGATTAGCTCTCAGACGTCCAAACATTGTCAGATAGTCGCTATATTCGGAGCGCAGGGATAACATTGTCGCTTGCATGATCGGACCTTATACATGACGGTGGGGCTGGGATGCGGAGTTGGGAAAACAAGACATCTTGTTAATGTCAGCGCATTAGTCCCAGAGGCTAATGCTCATTTCCCAGAGCAAATCAATAAAAAGTCATTCAATTCCAGACCTTCCATCAAGATACATTCATGTACCGATTTGCGATCGATGACTTCAATCCTAGGCTTTTACGATAGTTTGTAACCGGGCCGATGCACCACTTTCACCCGATTCTTATGATTAGAAGGGAGATTACTTGAAGGACATTCGAGAATTACCATTTCAGTATGCAGCAACATGTTGTGTGTGTTGATGATGTGGCATTGAGCGATGCTCCACTCGGTGAGGGAGTAACGCTGACCTCACCCCGACTCAGCCCAACGTCGGTAATAATTTAGTCACAGATATCCAAATAAAACCAGCGACATGAAAGCCGAGTTTGGGCAATCTACGAAAATAGGCAGTATATTCCAAGAATGTTGACGGGAAGGTTTCCACGAAGGTGACCCTAGTAATGATGTTCGCCGTTTTCAATGGTCGACCGCGATGCGATAACGGCTCCACAGTGGGGCATCAACATACTTCTCGACGGAGATAAGTGAGTTTTGATGGAAATTGCAAATACTAACATCTTATAGCCGGAGTTCAGGGCCGTCCAGGGGCATTAACTAGGCACCCAATGCTGAGTAATGACAGCACTGGCCATCAATGCTGTTGGTCGGTAATGCCACCTAGAAAGCCTCATCTTAAACCATCTATGCCAGACGCTACATCATGCCAGCAAACCGGACACGAAGCACCAATTCTCAGGGCAGACAAAGGTCTTGCTCAGAATGCGCGAAATCCAAACGTAAATGTGGCTTGGAGCAGCCCAGTTGCGCACGATGTATCAGACGACGGTTTTCCTGCATTTATCCATCGCAACCTCACATCCACGCTACAGTCCCGTACACCTTTACACCAGATATCGATGCTACAATCAATCAACTCAATATACCTTTGGATCTTGCAGAACTGGAAAATGTTCATCTCGATTTCAATTTCGACGAGTCTGCCATAGCAACAACGTCCAATACGGACACCCTGGATTTCGACTTCCCGGCTAGTACGACCTGTGTCGCTTCCTTCCCAGCTGCACTGCAAAACTCCCCAAACTTCGACAACCAGACGGCTCTTCAAAAGGCTCCAACGCAGGCGGAGAATCAATTCCTGTCAATTAACCTCTCCCCTTACGCGAGGGCGAGGATGGGTTATTTCCTCGAGCACATGCAGTTGGTACCAAGAACAATGGTAGAGCAAAACCGTACGCCATGGATGCACTCAACACTCTACGACAACCATATGCCCCGTTGCTTACAACACGCCTACGCTGCGTGTGCACTCTACATTACCAAAAATCAGATCAATGCTGAGCGCGTCACACACCATATCCGGAGTCGTGTGGAAGAGTTGCTCAATGAGACTGTACCCGATACGCCGATCGAGATCCTCGCTCGAACTCACGCAATCATGTTGTACCAACTCATGCTTGTATTTGGCAGCGATATCCGCTCTTGTGTACAGACCGATGCTTTGTCATCTCACCTAGAGGAGATGGAAGCGATGCTCGTACCGATTGCTACTAAGGAGAATGAGCATGTAGGCGCTCTCCCATTGTACCCATCCACAGCGGCTCGCTCGGCCTGGCGATCATTCATATTCCGCGAGTCGGCTCGACGTACAGTCCTAGCTGCATATCAAATCACAGTAATGTACACGGTCCTCACGGGTCAAATGAAAACTTGCAGCCAAGATATTGCACTCAAGTCTCGCGTCACGCTATCCGCGCACTTGTGGAAAGCCGCCAACGCCTTCGATTTCGCCATGAGTTGGAACGCAAAGAATCACTTTGTTGTCAGGGGACTGGAGTTTACGAATGTATTGGAGGAAGCGCAGCCAGACGATCTCGATGTGTTTGGGAACATACTGCTCATCTCTTTGCAAGGCATCGATGATATTCGTGGATGGTACCACGTACGAGGCGGGACGTTGGAACTACCTTGAACCCGATGCTGCTTCCTTTCCCCACAATATACATCAAATCTCGCAACGTAATCCGCACAATCACCGGTCTGAAATCCACACGTCTTCCTATCACATCCGGCTAGCCACAGTCGTGCGATACCTCAATCATCACCGCGCCGTTAGCTACCGGGAACAGGTACTGTCACTCGAGGAAATAGTCATCCTTCAATCATCATGCTTTTCCATGTTGGATCCCGGCAGCGGCGTCTCAGGCCACGCCCAATAACGATCCACTTTCTTCAAGAACCGTATGCCATCACTCTTTCTCTGCTCGACGATCCAGACTCGCTCGGTGATGGACAACGGATGATGTCACCAAGGACAATGCAGACCCATCTTACAGCGATAACGAGTAAGAAAAGTGCTGAAGCAAAGACCAAGGTCATGACGCGAATCTGAGCCGTACTTGGAGGGTGTAATCTTGCTATTATGGCCATTGAAGAAGCCTTCGCTCTTTGGCAGATCTGCGTATTTCATGTAAATGTCGTAATTTTATCTGCGAAGATCGTATACTGTCGGTGGTGGAGGACGGATGGGAGAGTCTTGAGTGGGCGACAAGTCCCTCGCCGAGGTATGTGGAGGAGATGTCTGCGCTTGATGCTCGTTGCTGTGGTTATGATGCGACTGCTCTATCGGCCTCATTCGGAAAGCCAAGATGAATTGTGGTCGGTTGGTGTTGGAGTGTTGAGACTGCTCTGCTTCTTGCTCGATGGGGGTCACCTCGCTGGAACTAATGCTACATACGTCTACCCCATTGTTAGTCCAGAAAACCCCTAGGCTTCCTGAAATTCATTTACGGCACCGACATACCTGAGCATTCCTCAATATCTTGACGCCTATCTTGATGCTGGAAGGATCCGGCATCTGTGGCCATCGGGCCCGCAGATGGACCTTCGTTGTCGCGATCTTGGCTCGGAACAATGCCAGGGCCCCAGCGAGAGCTTGTTCTCGATCCGTACGACTGGGGCATCCTATACGAAAAGTCAGAATGCAACTTTCGACACGGGACGTCGCTCATGCCTGTTTGTTCCGCTCTCGCTTTGGTGGTCAGTCACTTCACCATGACCCTCACGTGCGGGGTGATCGTGGTCTCTGGTGCGATACTTTTGAGAGCATTCAAGACTGTTCATACAGTCCCTAGCTTCATGACCTTCAATAAGTCAGTAACGGTAGTTTTCCAATAATCTCTTATTGACTTCCCAAGAGCACCACATGTACGGCATCGCACATCACTGGTCTTGTACAATGGTGGGTAAAAGTCTGGATACGTGACTGTCGTCGGAGACTCGTGTCTCTCTCGGTGGAATGGCGAGCGTTGTCGATAGCGGGCGTCGAAATCAGGAGATCGGGAGCTGGAGGGCGAGCGGCTCCGAGCGGTATATTTGAACCTATGCTGTGACATGTCAGCTTTGGTTCGCGAGTAAGACCAGGCATCGTTGCCAGGAGAGGCAGCACGCAGAGTAACGAGTCGGGTATAGCTTTGAGAAGCATCATAAGACCTCCACGTACGTACAACTATGCGGTTTCTGTAGATTTCTCATTTTACTAATGTACAGTGAGCATTGATATGCTCTAATGGCATAACATGCCGTATGCTTCTCATGTTTCCTCATATTGAGTCCGGTGGGGTCTTAACCTTTCTTCTAAAATCCCAGCTTCCGACTCCCCACCGCTCAGTGATCTGCTACCAGTACTCTCACACAACTCGTAAACCGGACTAAGATCTACTTTGGTGATCTGAATAACTGGAATGTCGTTTTCTGTCAACGGCTGTGGGGCATACAACTCTGGGAAGATATGTCCCTCCATCTCTGCACAGGGCAACCCATCCTTCTCAAATACAGCCGCGCCTTCAGTCTCTATTCTGGGCTGACCTTCACACTCTATGCTTGGGTCCTCCACTGTAGGCTGCTGCGGGGCCCTTGTCTTCCTTCTCTTCCGACAAACCCAGAGTCCCAAAAATGACGCAATTGCTAAAAAGAGTATGTTGCCTATTGCTATTCCCGCTATCGCGCCTTTACTCAATGATCTTCGACTTTGGAGGTTATATATTTCCCTTGGACTGAACACTGGGACGACTTCCTGTTTGTCGCCGGATGTTGGAAATAGCGCTTGATGGATAGAAAAATTCCCTCGATCATAATCAATCTTTATGTACGCTTCTTGGAAGAAGGTACGTCCCAAAGTATACTGAGTCTCGTTATATGCCCTTCTTATTGGAAAATAGGTGGTTGCGTTCTCATATATGGGGTAAGAAGCCTGCTGATCAAATGCACTATAGGGTAGCACTATATTGACCCGGCCTGAGGGGTCGGATGCTGTTTGTCCAAGTCCAAAGGTGATCTTTGGATTGCTTTCCACGAGCTTTGCGTGAGTTGAGGAGTCGACCAAGTACAGATCTGTGCTATTGTCATATTTCAAGTTGAACGCCTTTGCGAATCGATCACAGGTTGGTACTGGTAACCATATATGTGGCTCTGCAAAGTCGACCAACATATACGGAACGACCTCTTCCTGGAGACTGATAGTCTCACCAGCCAGGTTTTGCCCTATTATTGTCTGTATCTTCAGACTAGGTTTACGACTGTCATTGGCATCAAAAGGAAACGTAACATTGTTCGGAATGAATCGTGACTGGTCGTAGCCACCATAAGTCAAGCTCCCATAGACGTTCGGTTGTTCTGTAGTGCTTGTAAGTCTTCTGTTTCTTCTCCGTATGTACAAGTATTAACTCACTGTAGTATGCGCCAGCCGTGTAACCATAGCTCAGACTAGGTATGTGACCATCCTCGTGCAGAGTTTTTATAAGACTTCGTTGCGGATTTGCGAAATCTGAAAAGTTGCTCGGCTTCACGTCCATCCCTAACCTCCCAACCCACAGACGTGGGTTCACCACAGCACCGATCGTTTGATTTTCCAAAGTTGGTCCCCCGGAATTCGCGATCATTAGCCCCAAATTATCTAAACCGTAGAGGCCAGACGCGTTGTAACCCAGCTCTTCACGGTTTGTTGTTTGGTAGATACCAATCTCGTGCCATGTGCTGGACAGATTGGCCTGGAAGCCATTGTTCGTTCGACCCTGGTAAAGCTCCGCACCACGCGAAAAGGCACAATCTTTCTGAAGGATCTTAGTCAAGATGTCTCATACGTAACAGGAACTAAACTAACCGTGCTCATGTGCTCGTCATCTTTGCAAGCACCGGCCATGGGGAGAAGTGTCTCACTTGAGACCGTAGATGGCAAGACGCGAAAGCTCTGCTCGGGTGTGCCAACACGCACTACAAATGTGGACCATTTCCCATCATTCCCTTCGAAATATTGGGACGGCGCAAATGAGATTGGAGCAGCCGTCGCAGCTGCACGCAGAGCTTCGACCGACGACATTCTGATATTGGGGGTAACGGCGCACGCCTGCTTTTTCGAAAGTAGATTACTGAACGCGTGGCTAATAGCGATAACAGTGTGAACCGTACATCGCGCAAGATATATGGGTCAAGCGAATTCAAACAATGTGGCTGACTGCGACCGATAGACATTGCCGAGATATCGGTTTATCCATCTGGGCCACTCGATAAGAAGTCGCCTGACGACATAGGTGCGGCAAAATCAATATCAGACTAGAAGGCCCTGAGTTGCCGCGAAGAATAGACAGCCTAACTGAATGGCCTCGATCTTCAATGACAACGAATGGGGCGTTGTTTCTGCTCAAATCGCGAGCTATCTGATACGACAAGATGGTGCCTTGGCCCCATCTTAGCTTACTCTGACTAGCGTGTGCAATGCTATTGTAGACAAGGCGACTCAAATATGGTGGATCACCTCTCAAAAGAGTTTACTGTTGTTTCGGGCCCCCCGTTTTTCGGAGTAGGTCATCGTATTGGCCGCTTAATCATCGACGTTCTACTACAAATTCGACAGGGGCCAAAAGCCACGCCAAGAAACTCTACCATCAACCGTGAACTCGGGAACATCGCTTCTGCAGTACTAGTCTGGAACTTCCCCACGGCGCTTATCTCAAACTGACGTTCGGGTCAGGGTTGTTTCTATTCGTAGCCCGCGTCGCATGGTCTTGCATCCATCTGCATATCAACATCACTACGCCTCTCTATGGAGCCAGATTGAGAAGGAGGACATCTGTAGCGCAAACTTCGAGGGGCCAAAAACTTCAAAATTCGCGCTGATACATGCTTCATAATGACCAAAGGGTTGGCCTGAGGGATTCGGGCGGATTTTGAACGATAGGCATGAGGTGCAATGACGATGGGTTGCGTGAATCTTCTCGCAAGGCAGATTTTGAGATCAAGATAAAGGGAGCAAAGACCTTCGAGCTATGAGATGAACCAGATCAACACGCTCGGGATCAACACTTCAAACTGAATACTATCTTCACTGCAGGCTTTTCCAGATTCACCTTCTCCAACTCTCTTGATCGGCAGCCTGTCAATCTCTGTCCAGGATTCTGGATACCCTGCGAACTGCAGCGATGCCGCACCAATACTTTGTCTGCATCCTGCTGGCTAGTCTCATTCCATCACGAGTTCTAGCCGCACCTACTGGACGTCCTTCTGTAGTTGCAAGATATGCAGCTATGTGTGACGACCCCAATTTATCCTGGTAAGTACAAACTGTTCTGACCTCAACTTAACTAGTGCTGATAGAACAAAGGGATGAGAAGAAGGATGCTTCCTGCCCAATTTGTGTAATGGATAGCTTTCCGATGTAAGTTTTAATCTGCTCTGTGACAAACTTGATGGGGAATATACTGATCGGCTACAGGGAATTGTTCGACAAGTATTGTGGCCCAACTATGGCTCCCTCTGTCACTCACCAATACGCCGCGGGTGTCTGGAGACGTGAGGATGGATCAGTGCCTGCAGTTCCCGCTGACGACAGTGAGAATGACGAAGAAGATGCCAAATTTCATGCTCTTCCTTACCTCAACCGACCTCAGAATCTTGTACCGGTTCTTCCTGATACCGGCAAGCACATCAAGCCTCTGCCTGTTCTAAAGCCTTACCCCATCGCCATGCCGGTTCCTATTGAACCTCCGCAAATCATCAACCCAAGACCTATCTCTGAGCTCAATCCAGGTTTTCCGGTTGACCATGAGACACACGTGGCTAGCAAGCGTCGCAGTGTCCAAAGTATTGAGCTTGAGCCTGTCGATAAAGACTTGCCAGCACACCTGATTACTAGTGGCCTTTGGGCTGAGCGTCACCACAAGGCTGATGGTATTTATCGCCGCGAAGATGCGCTCTCCGAAACCGAGCCAGCAGGTTCTTCCCTGCCAGCCCAAGCCACAACTGCAGAGGTTGATGAAGACTTCCTTTCAAAAGAAACTGTGGCGAGTGTTTCCGATGAAGACCCGGAAGTCTCAGAGGATCAAATTGTGACGAGCTTTGACAAGGTTACTCACAAACCTGCTTCTGTAATATGGCGTAGGGAGGTCCCCCGTCCAGCCAACCACTTTAGATTAGGGTACCCATTACGCCCGGCCAATGGTCTTACACCCCTTCCCTTGATCAAAAGCGTACAGCCTATTGACAAGGAGGATCAAAAACGAGAGGCAAATCCTGTACCCCCGCCAGAGTTCTTCGAACACGGTCACTCACCTTCAAAACCATTATCCTCTCTGAAGCCCAATCGACCAATCCCTATTCCATCTGACGGCTGGACCACCTACGAATCCCCTCCCATCATCTCCCCTGAAGCCCCTCACATCCTCGCCCGCCAATCCCCCGGAGCATCCGAACCCGGGCTCGACGACGACTACGCCAAGTACGAAAAACAGCGCAAGAAAGAAGAAAAAAAGAAAGCAAAGGAAGAAAAGAAGAAACCCAAAGACGAAGAATTCTACAACACCGGACCCCCAGACGTATGGTTCACCCCGGCCATAACCCACATGCAAGTCAGCAGCATCCACCGCCGTGATGACAATGCAGACCCGCAACAACCTCCGTCCCTCCCCCTCCCACCAGCCCAAAAGCCAACCTGGAAATACACACTCCCCTGGTTCACCCCGGCCCTGACCCACGCAGAAGCAACCGACATCCACCGCCGCGCCACGACCCAACCTGCCGACCTCGACTTCGCAGACGGCAAACGCCCCATTTGGACCCCGGCGCTGACACATATGAAATGGCCGGATATCCATCGGCGTGAGAAGAGACTCGTGTGGGCGGATCGGAAGCCTACGACGGAGAATCCTGCTAAGACGCATGGGAAGGCGTGGATTGTGCAGCGGAGGGATGTCGTAGGAGAGTAGGTGTGTCAAGGGCCTGGTATGCTGCAAGACAAAGACGAAGGTGTCGCTGGAAACGATGATATACTTTCCCTTTTTTTCCTTTCTTTTTTCTTCTCCCCTTTACTCTCCTCATCATTCACGTCTTTCTCTTAGTGAGCAGTATATACAAGCATCCCTTCCTTTTCTCAAATCGTCAGTCTCGCATCGTTTTTTTTTGCTTTTGAGTTTAGTAGAGTGATAGTCTAAAACCGTTACTTACTATCAAACTGGACCCTGAGTTTGCTTTCGTCCGTACCGTAATTGTCCCGCATGTCGATCCCTAACCCCCCTCAATGAACCGTGCAAAAAAGCGGCTACCCCAGCCCCCAACCCCGCACACGTGTTAGTATAATTCTGGAACCTGAAAGGACCAAGGAATATGGGGTCAACATATGTGACAAGTGTAAAACTTTGTTTCGCCGCGAAAAATTGGGCTAGGACGCGTATATTATATATACCTCAGTAAGCACACAACATGGTGCCATTTCTGACAGGTGTCAAGCCCTGATATCTCAACAAAGAGACCAGAAGAGAAAAAAAGATGATGCTACCTCCGAAAATTCTCACATCTCCGTTTACCGCAAAACTCCTCCATGTATCCATTGTTCACACAAATTTATATTGCTTCCCTGAAGACACTTCTCCGACTCTCCGTAGGACTCTTATCGTGATGACTATCGGGACTCCCACTCTTCTTACGAGGATCTGCGCTAGACTTGCCTGCCGTCGTCGCAGCACCATGGTACCCGGTATCAGCGTCCATGACGGGTCTGGGGCTGACGCCGCGCAGACTGGCCGCCGCGTCGTCGCCAAAGGGATTGCGAGCATTGTGAGCATCGAGATGCTCGTCGTACGATTCGCGGGTGCGACTGCGGCCACGGGTGGGTTCGCCGGCAAAGGGATTGGCAGACTGATTGGCGGCGTGCGGGGGGTCGTGGAGGCCCAATTCCTGTTCTTCATAGTATGCCTCGTCGCCCACGCGCGAACTCCATGCTTCGTCGGGATCGAGGCGGCTGCCTGCGCCGCGGCCGCCGCCAACGCCGCGGGAGCCGTAGCCCGTGTCTTCGTAGCCGCTGCCGGTGGTGTAGCGGTTGTTGCGGTTCTTGAACTTGCGGACTTGGGTGTCGATCCAGCCCTTGATGCCCGTGGGAGCGGGGCCCGGGTAGTTTGAGGCTTCGGCGTTGGAGCTGCTGAAGGCCACCATGGGATTCATTGAGGGCGGGGGAAGGCCATTGCGCGAGGCGTTCCAGCGCGCGTAAAAGTACCAGCCAAAGTAGGTGCCGGAGACCAAGAGGATGAGGACGATGGCGAAGACAAGCCAGCCGTTCATGATTGCGGAGGGCGTGGAAAAGCGGAAATATGGGGTAGAGAAGGCGTGGTTAGCTGCACATGTGCGCGTGAGCAGAGGCTATGGCGAGTGCGCGAGATACGACGTAGAGTTGGGTTTTCGGCCTCTGCGGGACTGGGTATCGCCGTGATGTGAGCACAGGCGGCTGGCGGAGGCGGCGGAGGCGGCGGCGAGGCGAGGCTCCTGTGTGGAGCAGACAAAGGGTGTGGTTTGTATTGCAACGGCGTCGACACGTCGCAATTGTCGCTTTGTTGGTTGCTGCTGACAGCTGGACAGCTGGCGCGGCTGAGCCTGCCCGCCCTTCACTCTAGGCTTCTTTCCTGGTGCCCGTTGCCAAGTGATGACGTAACCCTCGCTGCTGCGCCGCCCCCAGGATCAAAGCTGCCCGCCCACCTGCGGGTTGCGCTACTAAAGCAGGGTACAAGAATCTTACATACATTTAGGCTCAAATCTGGTAGCTTTTCTTAGCTCAGTACCTTAATTTGATCTACTTAGACAAAACCACCTATCATTAAAATGAGTCTACATACTATATATTTACATATTGACATCTACTCGTCTCCGTCACATGAACCTCCAAAAAAACATTCAATATATACAAATTTGGCGTACTTCTAGTGTGCGACATTTCCAGTCCGTCTAGGCTTGGAGCGCAAGGCCGAGTTTGGGAATTTCGTCCTCGGTGCTGTGCACCACATAAAAGTTCTTCATCCATATGGAGCCGAAGAGCGAATTACGCAAAGTCCTCTTTCCAACGATGACTCCCGCACACCTCTGTCGGAATGGATCAGTCACGCCGAAGTTGAGGTGTTGACCAGGAACCGAAAACGTCTGGCCCTCGATCTTGAAGGTGAAATCTGGCAGGGTGGCGTTGCATGGGAAGGTGTTACTCTCGCCGATTGTCAACTCGTATTCTGGAACCTGGCTGTAGTAGTCGGCGACGACCTGATCGGGCAGGTAGATGAGCGGGGAACCAGAGTCCACAGTGGTGTTACCGATAGTGGCGGTACCAAAGGTTTTGTTGCCTGCACCGTACTCTCCAACCGCTATGGTCCAATGCTTCATGTTGCCGACCACGGGCGTATATGTGACGTCGCCAGTGTATTTGGATTTGTCGAGATAGCCAAAGTCCCATGAGCCATTGCCTTCGGGCCTCAAGTTTGCAGCAAATACTTTCTTCTTCAATGTCGGTGCGACGGTTTCGAAGAAGGTGGCTTGTGGCACAGGCTGTACCTGGTTGATGATGCCGAACGAAAGGCCCATGATACCATCCGAGTCGATATCAGAGGGGACATAGGTTGCTACCTCAACGGCTTGCTTCTCGGCCACAACCGGGCCAGCCTTGACCATATCCGTGTAAACGATGCCATTGGCCGAGGAGCCGCCTGAGTACGTGATGGTCCAGTTGTAGTTGGGCAACAGTTGTGCAGACGACGAGGGGAAGTAGTAGGTTTTGCCGGGACCTTGTATATTTGATGTCTCGTTTCCAAACACCCACAAGTCGGCCGAGCCAGTATCGTAAATCAGGTTGAAAGTCTGATTTCCAATAATGGTAGGGGTTAGGTATGTGACGCCAGGATCATTGGGAATAACAGTGACGGATCCTTCCTGCTGGCCTGCAACACCGGCTTGTCTCTTGTCGACATTTTCCGTGGTAGGATGCCTTGAGCGAAGTTTTCGAAACTCGGCCTCGAAATCAAATGATCGGGGAGCGGCTGCTACGGCATCGACACTGTAGGCAGCGCCTCGAGGTTCTGCTACAAGGGCGCAGGCAGAAGACGCAAGTATGGCGAGTGCGAGCTTGCCTGTCATACTTTGCGAATGTGACATTGTGTTTGTGTGAAGAAGTAGAGAGAGATGGTTGTGTGACGCGGCAAGTGCTGTGTAGCCAAGTAATGCCGGACAAAGTTGAATTTATCGGGGTATGTATCTGTCTGTCGAGCTGACGTCGCGTTAGCATACTTATGTAGCAGATGCAATGCCGACAATGTTACATGGTAATAATGGATACCTCTGCTCGGGGCACATTGCAACCACTGTCCCCTTGGACTAGGTGTTTATTGGGCAAGGTAAGAGTGATTTCGAGTCCAGGGACTGTACGACCCTACCGTTACTTCCGTGTAAGCTACATGGCATGATGTCAATAAGCTCGTATTGAGAAGTAAAGACAATGAACTCGCAAGGGAGGTTGACCGAAATAGCAAAAGCGATGTATGCATTTCCCATGCTGGTAGTCTATAAAAAGTAAGGACTTGGCTCGACGTGGGAAATCGTGTGCCGATCAAGGCCGTGCAGTGGTGTGGAGAGTCGAGTAGGAAAGAAGAAGCCGCCAATCAAGTTTATCCGGTAGAAATGGCGGACGAGTTGGCCGGGGATGATCCGGCTAGTGGGTTGCGATAGGAAGGAGCTCGTGTTTACATAATGCAGCGTCCACTTTGGTCGCCATGAAACATTCATCTCCACAATCCCATCTACTACGTATTGTTTTACAAAAAAACCCCGGGAAACCCGCAAACCCACCAACCGTCAAGATACTCGCACACCTGCAAAGACAGCGTGCAGTGGTCCGTGCCAAATACAAGACACCAAACTCAACACCGTCATACTCGTATTGCTATAATTCCCGGCACGGTCCGACTCAAGTACTTAGTAGATACTTAGTGGCCAAGTCAAGCTTTGGCCACTCCCTTGGCAGTGCATACGCTCTGGAGATCACAGTCGACAACCCACATTCAGGAGTGCCTTGGTTCGGTCGGCCAAGAGGTCGGCAGCTACCTATTCACATAAAGAGCTGCCATGGTGCCGTGTTCCCTTGTCTCGTTTGCATCTGCACAGTCTTGCTCTCACACTCAACAACCATGCCTGATTCCAACTTAGTTTCGCGGGCGATCCTCGCCGCCCTTGCACTCCCTGCTGTCTCTGCCGAACTTCCCCCAGGCGCCATTGCTGTGCCCATGATCCGAGGAGCGGATCTCGGAGCATACTTCGCAGAATTCCAAGTCGGAACGCCCCCGCAGAAGGAATGGCTCAAAGTCGATACTGGCAGTCCACGATTTTCCTTTCTTGACTCGCGCAACCAGGAATGTGTCCTAGATCCAAACGCGTGCAGTACATATGGCACTTTTGACAACTTGACCTCTTCGTAAGTGACCACCTTTGGCTTTGTTTTTTTTATCTTTCAATTCGCAAGCGCTAATTCTACATCTTCCAGAACTTGTCATTATGAAGGGCCTGGGTTCTTTGATGCTCTCTATGCATCTGGACAAGGCGATTTCCTCAATGACACCTTGGTCCTGGGCGGTGTCACCTTACCCAACATGTATTTCGGCTACACGTCCAAGTATCCGAGCCTCGGACGAGCTCCAAAACCAATTTCCACCATCTTGGGTATGTCAGGACACATGTCTTCTTCGTGCACGACTGTAGTCTAACGGTTTGATTAGGCTTGTCTCTTGAATGTGGAGGCCAACACGGGGCTGACTGCATGGGCAAGGGACCGTATCTGCTACCACAGTTGAAGAATGCCTCACTGATTGACATCATGGCAACAAGCTTCTACCTTGGCCGGGATGAATTCAACGAGACCAATGCCCAGATGATTATTGGTGGCGCCTATGACAAGGCAAAGGTGGACGGCGACCTGTTCACCGTCGAGATGGCGGATCCATTCTCCCCTAGCCTCACCAATGGCCAGACTAACAACGTCAACGTCACTGCATTGGAAGTTGTAATTGACGGCGGCAACCGCACGTCACAAACCTTTGGAGAACGTGGTGTCGGTGTCCCCGTTTTGATCGACACGGGCGTTGCAAGCTGGTACGTGACTGATACCATCTACGCCGCTGTCTCCAAGGCATTTGGTATCACCGCTACAGCCCCACTTGGGCAACAGTGGGTCGCTGTCGACTGCATCAACCGGGACCCCAACCATTCCAAGGGCTACATCTCTGTCGAATTCGGCGCTAATGGCAAGATTGATGTTCCGCTGCACGAAATTGTCACTCTGTTTGCTGATGGCACATGTGGTCTCTTCATGCAGGGTCGCGAAGAAACCATCAACATATTTGGAGACGTATTTATCCGTTCAGTTTACACAATCTACGACGAGGAGAACAAGACTATAACATTCGGTAGAGTAAAGCACACAACCGAGCAGAACATTGTGCCATTCCCCAAGGGAGGTTTCAAGGTCGGTTCAAAGGTCACTTCTTAGACATTATATTTGTAATCCGGTTAGAATGTACATATTCAAGTTGGGACTACGAGGCCCAGGCGCTCTTTCACTAGAGGAAATGTGGTAGATGATGGTTTAATGATACCGTGATTACATATCTTGGAATAATCCAATGATTCATTTCCAACTTCTCAAAGACTGTTTTCTAGTTGTCCAGACCATACTAGCATTTGGACAGAATAGAGGTAGGTCAACAAGAGATGGACAGCACAACCATGCCAAGAAAGTCATTACAACGAATGCAAGTCGCAACCCTGGACTCTGTAGCGAGAATTAGCGCAGGCCGTGTCGATATATGAACTCACACTATGCTAGCGCTACGGGACGGGATATCCGCAGACCGAGAAAGATCCGAAATCCCGCGAAAGAGCTAAATGGAGGTGCTTATAAGCTCGCCCATAACTCTTGTATGGAAGAAGGTACTTAGCTCCGTGCCTTACCTGTCAAGGCCATTTAGTCTGACTTTACTACTAGTTCTATGTAGCAAGGATAAGTAGATGTCGCGTGGGAATCGCGCTAACGTAACACGGAGATCCCTGTCATCTGGGTATACAGAGTGAGAGAGCAAGTACCGGTAGAGTTTGGAGCTATGCAGATTCTGTATTATCATGCGGCAAAAGCCGTAGAGCGGTATAGATATGGGTCTGACACTGCAAACAGAATGTCGCCATTATCTTCATCATGTCGTTATAGGCAGCGCTGAATTGATTAACAAGCAACCCCGCGATGATATCATCTTATAGCTCCCCGCCCCTCACTCAACCCCTCCATTACCACCCCAGCCATGGCAACGGTCAATGAGGCGGAGGCGCCACAGCCTAGAAAGATTGTCATTGATCTACCAACTGCAGACGGTGCATCTAAAGCTACCGTCACTTTGCAAGAAAACGAAGATGCCACCAAACCACCCTTGCTCCTCAACATCTCCAAGAGAGCTCTCGACTCACCAGATACAAACACAACATTAACCGAACGTAAAACCCACGTTATCATTTCCGTAGGATCTGGCGCCCGCCAGGCAGAGAACTTCTTCAACACCGTAGTCAAACCGATTCTAACCGCCATCCACGGCGAAGATGGCGTATCCAAGATCGAAGTCCACACAACGACCTCAGCAACCAGTATCTCCGATTACACAAACACCATCTTCTTTCCTGCAGCAAACAGCGGAACCCCGCTCCGCATCATCCTCCTCTCCGGCGACGGCGGCATCGTCGATCTAGTAAACGGTCTCCTCTCCCCTCCCCACGACACCGCCTACACCTCCCCCCAAGTCGTCCTCCTCCCCCTCGGCACCGCAAACGCCCTCTACCACTCCATCAACACCAGCAACGAGCCCTCAACCTGGGGCCTCGCCGCCCTCGCATCTTCACACTCTGCGCCACTCCCAGTCTTCACAGCAACCTTCTCCCCCGGCGCGCGCCTCCTCGTCGACGAAGCCCGCGCCGAAGAAGCGCTCCCAAAAAATGAAAAGGGAGAAGGCGTCCTCCACGGCGCAGTCGTAGCAAGCTGGGGCATGCACGCCGCCCTCGTCGCAGACAGCGACACAGCACACTACCGCCAATACGGCGTCCAGCGCTTCCAAATGGCTGCAAAAGAAGCTTTGTATCCCTCTGACGGCGGCGCGCCTCACGCCTACAAAGCACGCATTTCCCTTCTCCCCCTCCCCCCATCATCATCATCATCGCCATCACAGAATAGTCAACAGCAAAAAGACTGGATAGAGCTAGACACAATAGACCACATGTACGTCCTGGCAACCCTAGTCTCGCATCTCGAACGCCCGTTCTGCATCTCCCCGGCCTCGGCCCCGCTAGATGCGAGCCTTCGCCTTGTCCATTTCGGCCCGAAGACTGCAGATGAGGCCATGCGCATCATGGGGTTGGCGTATCAAGGGGGCAAGCACGTCCGCGAGGAGGGGGTCAGGTATGAAAGCATTGAGGGATTGCGCATTCGCTTTGAGGGGCTGGAAGAGGATGAACGTTGGAGAAGGATTTGTGTGGATGGAAAGATTGTGAGGGTTGAGAAGGAGGGCTGGGTCGAGGTGAAGAAGGATAAAGGGAGGCGTGCATTGAATGTTGTTGTAGCTGCTGCTACCTAGAATAGAGCGGCTGTTTTTATCAAGAGATTTCCTTTTTTTTGACATTACAAGAAAATACCATTACTACGTATACTTCCAAACAAAAAAGCCGGAAAAGAGGGGGATATCTAACTTTAAAAAAATAAGAACTCCCGCAATTTGTATCGTCGTTATAGGGAAAAAAAAACACCTCCCTAGTCGTGAGCCGCGTCTTCGTGTACATCTCTCCCTTTGCCGATGTGGTATTTTTTCCCCACCGATCTATCCAGACACCCCCGAAGAATGACGAAGAAAAAAAAAATGTTAATAACCAGGGTACGGAGGTCCCTGTGCATATTGATGTTGCGTCCTTGCAAAGTCCTGAGGGTTATATGCATAGTGGGGCTGCCCCTTCTGGATGCTATCCCTCTTCTGCCTTGACTCGTGCTCTTCCCTTGTTTCTTCCATAGTGGGTAGCTCCGACGCGAATGCTTTTCCCTCGAGACCTGGCGATCGCATGCCGTCTGAGGTAGCATAAGAGGTTGGTCGTGAGGATATTGTGCTGTGGGATGTTGTGGACCAGCGGGCGTCTTGGAATTTAGGAGAGGGTTCAGAAGCGTAAGAGGCACGTTTGTCATTGATTGGTGTTTGGGATACAGGAGGGTTGGGATGGTAGAAATCGCCGGGGAGTTCCATGACTACATTGTTCTGGCCAATGAGTTCCTTTGGGGGAATGGGAGGAGGGTGTTGGTGGTCGGGCTGCGCATAGCTTAGGCTTTGGCGGTGGGGGAAATTTGGCGACTGGCGAGGCGACAGAGGGGTCGAGTATACTTGTCCTGGCGATGAATGCGGTGACATGTAATCGCGAGTTGAACGATCCGCTGGGTTGACGGTCTTTAGTCGGCCATTCTCCATCAGGGCGTGTAGCGCACCCGAGTCGAGTAATTCGGCCTTCTTCACCAACCGATCTACCATGATCTTTGCCGCAGCCTGCATCTCCTTCTTTACAAAACTGATCATGGCGACATTGCACTTGATCTCGACATCTTCCCTAATGTACAACCCCTCGGGTGGGGCAGTAGAGCCTAGTTCCTTTGGCTCGGGTGGTTCGCCGGGCTGGTTTCCGCAAATCTGCCATTTGTTGCGTAGGTCCACATTTGCAGGCGCATAGGTGTGTGTTTGGAGGCCAAAGGGGAGGTCGTGGAAAACGCCGCGGAACTTGATTGAGCCACTGCCCATTTTGCCAATGCCGGGTATGTACTGGATGCGCTCCGAGATCTCGTACCAGGTCGAGTAAAACTCGTCAGCGGGCGCATCACGCGGCGCTTTGATGGCCTCATGGCCAGTGACGAGCGGGTTCAGCTCGATAATCTCGCCATGGTTGTGGAGGAAGTCGATGGCGAGCTGACGCGGTATGAAGGAAGGAATGGGCGTAATGTGCACATACGACACCTTCTTGCGCATCATATTCATTGTCGGGTATCAACGTCTGACACGCTGAAAAGTGTGTGTGTGGGAGAGAAGTGTGTGTGTGTGTGTGTGTGTGAGAGGGTGTGGTCTGCAAAAGAGCCGGCTGATGCGACTCGAGCGAGGAGGATGGACGCCTGGCGGAGGGGGCTAGATGGTGGGTAATAAGCTTCCTGCTGACGGATGGTATGCTTGCTTGTGGAAGTAGGCGACGGTCTGCTAGTGGCGTAGTAGTAATCTCACACAGCCCAAGATCTGCGAGGCGAAACACGTCATGCACGTGATCGGCGTGATGTCAGTCAGAGCCTTTCTGCGCTGTACTCTGGTCTTGTCCTGTCGCGCCCAAGACAGCAGACGGTCGCTTTGTATGCCACACTGACTTGCTCGAAACACGGTGAGCCCAAGCCAGCGCTGACAAGGCCATGTGCTCGTAGGGCGGCTGGTCCCCGCAGTGGACCAATCTAATTTTGGGCCGGCGTCCTTCAGCTTACTCTACTATGCAAGTGGGGGCCAAGTGCTGAAATCAATCAGCACTTTAGTCCACGTAGCACCCGTTTGCATCCGTCGAGAGAATTCAGTGCGTGGCCCAGGCAGTGCTGAAGACGAAAAACTCAGTCATGGACGTTGCTTGCATTGGGCGACTTTTCTTTTGGCTGCGGGACAGACGACATCCGGATCATGGCACTGCCCTTGCCAAGCGAGTACGTGTGCCAGGGACCCGACAAGGTTTGGTGGGTCTCCTATCTGCGAACCGCATCGTCGCTCTCTCGTCCATGGTCATTGGCTGGGAGGCCAGGCACTCGGCCTTTCTCCAGACCCTCGTGTGAAAATCATCCAGGTGAAGGTACTTTGCAAGTACACAACTTTGACTATGAAAGTTCACCAACTGTTTCGCGGCAGGGTCCTGAGACAAACTCCTAGCAGAGGCTGAGAATCTGCAGGCTCCCAGGCTCCCACTCTGTCAGGCTGTGGCTCGGCAGCCCAAGAGCCAAGAACGAAAATACTGGTTGGCATGAAGAAAAAGCCGGAAACGTTGCCGAAGGTGGCGATCATGACAGCGGCTCGCTAACTTTGTCGCATCCAGTCCTGGTACCAACTCAGGGACCAAACGGCCTTACTAGGGGACGCTTGCTGATTGCCTGAGGCCAAGTGCGGTTGCGAAACTCTCCACACAGTCGGTTTGACCTGAGAAGCCATGCGACGTCTGGGCAGGAGCAAGGACGGGAGTGGTGTAGTCGAGAGGTCTGACTTTGATATTTGCTGGTACAAAGTTCATTGCAAGTTTGACTCTTGCCATTGCCGCGCATCCGGTGACGTATCTACAGTCACGTGCTGTTTGTCTGAACGCTTTGGTAGTTGCCTCGCACGTGACCAGATACCACGAATCCTCCAACCTGATTGCTACTCGGTATACTGCAAGTAACAACAGTAGCATAACGAAACATTGAGTCTAGAGAATTTTCCGCGAAACAGCCCGAGGTTGCATGCAGGCACTCCCAAGACTCCCAGATAGGTTGTCAAACAGAAAGACTGCCGGACATGGCTCGGCCCTACTCGTAACGTCATACACCAGGCGCGTTGTATAATCCCTGCGAACCCTGGCTCCAAACCCTCCACGTAGATCCTTCGCTCCTACAATATAATTCAAGCAGTCGACTCAAGGAGAAAAGCAACATGCACCTTTCACGGCCTCTACAGACCACAGTCTAGAACGATGCAAGAGTCCACATATGGTACCTTGTGCGCCCTCCACTCCTGCCTTTTAGTCTCTAGCACCCAATTTTCAATCATCGCTGCGACAGTCTGAGCAGTTACAGGATTAAGCAAGGTAGGAACCCAGCCATCCGATTTCTCTGTACAGAGACAAGCACCACCCAATAAGCACGCAAGATAGTGCTGTAAGTCAAAAAGTCGCACATACTAGACTAATATTGCGTAGTGAGCATACATTCAACACTACACCGAAGCTACCAAACCACTGCCATAGCTAGCACTTTTATGCAACCTTATGAAAAAAAAATTACAGCACCATCGCTACGAGGAAACTCCAGTCTCACACACCCCAGTCATTTCGAAAAAAAAAACTACACCTTTCCAATCCAGACCTTTCCCCATCATTGCTATCTGGAAAATCTCACTACCCTTTTTCTTTTCATAATTTCCCAAATACCTCCCAGAATCCCCCTTCCCCTACTCCCCTACTCCCCCCAAACTTCCTAGGTTTATATCACATTACACCATTGCATCTAGTCGTAAACAAGCAAAAAAGATGGTTGGATTTAACCTACTACCCCGCGTTTTGATAACTAAACCAAAAAAAAAAAGAAAACGGTAGTTAATCAGAAATCACGGATTTAATTCCCCAGCCCATCGTTCCCCCACTCGCGCATTCTGACCAATACTTCTTGATTCAAAACAGTCCAATATACTTATATAGGATTCACCCGTCATGTACATGCACCAACATGCCGTAATAATCCTAGGAATATTTTTTTTTAAAAAAGAAAAGGGCGGTATAGCAAATATTCTAATCTTGTTTTTATCTAGAACTTGCGAACAATCGAGTCAACGATACACACAACTCAAGCTATGCCGCCTCATCCCGTACAAGCCAAATTGGGACTCTAGTACACATTTTCTGCCTTTTGAAAAAAAAAAGAAGAAGAACACATCGGTAAAGACATAGTTACCCGAAATCTGGGTTGATGATTCAGTCTACCATAATTTTTCCTTCAATATAAAATAATAACCCCCCAAAAAACACCATAACCCGCTATGCCAAAAAAAAGAATCAATCATTCAAAACACCATTCTAATGTCACCTACTAAAATAATCATGTTGCACACCATCCCTACTAGGACTATACGGCGTATACTGCTGTTGTTGCAATGCCGGTGCTCTAACTGCCCCCATAGGCGCAGCACTATTCACCAAATTCCTCTTACCCTCATCATCCTCGTGAACTTCATACGGACTGTCTGTGCTATCTAATCTGCGCATGCCTAGTCCAGGTTCGGGACTTGGGCTGTATTCGCGGAGTGCAGAGGGGGTTTGGTGGTAGCCAGCTGGATACGAGACGCCCGTCTCGTCGGCACCGCCGAATGTACGGTCAGAGTCGCGCGAGTGGGAGCGACCACGATCAGCAGCTGCGCCGCCAAAGTGGGAATTGGGCGTGTCGGGACGGTGGGTGCTGGATTCGCCGCCGTAGACGGATCCTTCGCCGCCGTGCTCGTCGCTGAATTCCGGGCGGTTCTTGTAGTTTTCAAAGTCCATGTTGGATTCGGAGACGAACTCAAAGGGAGCGGGGGCTGCGGCACCAGAGGCCATTTTTCCAGGGTTTTCTTTGGACATGCGTTTCATGGTGTAGACGTCACTGAAGGCGGCTGTATCGCCAATGTCGCCGTCTAGACGGCCGCGGTAGATTTCGGCAAGGAGATGTTTTGACTTTTCGTTGACCATAGGGACAGTGAGTTTCTGGTAGAGAGCTGGGTGGCTAGTTCAATGTTAGTGACGACTGCAAGTCTGCAAGCAACAAGAGTAACATACCCAAACCTCACAGCAACACGATCCCTCTTCCTCGACTCCTTGTCAATCGGCGTAGGCGCTTCAACACCCTTCTTACTATCACCCTGAGTGTAGTACTTGAGCGAGTTATCAAAGGTGTTTTTGCAGTAAAACTTGAACGCAATCAATCCTATAGGAAGAGGAGCCAAAGCCGCAAGCATGTGCCATTTGAAGTTCGCTCCACGAGCAGTGACCAAAAGTGCAACAATGCAGTTGGAGAGGAAGATACCGACGAGCATACGGTTGAAGAGAACACGCCAAAAGGCACCTCCAGACTCGTTCTTTGTACAGAAAACGTACCTGAATATGATTAGTCGGCACTCAAACTAAAACAACAACGTCGACTTACATGAGAAGGTACTTCTTCATCCAGCTGTCCAGAGAAAAGTAGATTGCAACAATAACGAGCGTGACAGGCTGCAAGGGCGCAAAGCAGAAGGCGACCGTCGAGTAAAATAAAAAGTAGTTGTAGTAACTTGCATAATCAAACGGCGGTGGCGCAGTCCGGTTAATCAGATCCCTAGGAGTAGGATTCAAAAACTTGCGCGAGAAACTGCCCCAAGCCAAGTTCACAGCCTGCGCGAGGTCAATGGCCGCACCCAAGTTACGTTGCACGAGCCAGGTGACCCAAAAAGGCGAGACCTCGCAGAGTGTGCGCATCGTGGTATCGAAAAAGGCAATGGAGCGCAGAATATCCATGAAAGGCACATTTTGCTTGGTTGCGAGATTGACAATCATGACAATCATGCCAAAGACGGCGCTGAAGAGCGAAAAGACGAAGAGGTTGTTGAAGACGAAGAAAGCGTATAGTTGTGCCGTGACGTGGCGTTCACGACTTGTTTTGGTTTGGTCTCCAGACTTGATCGAGAGGCGGCGGAAGATGATGGGCAGGAAGTAGTAGAAAAGAGATGTTAGGGCCGGCGCAGCGAGACCTTGTACCACGGCCCAAAAGTCGGCATGTCGGGCGAGCTCGACCTGGAAAGTTGGCCATACGAAACCCAAGTTGGAGAGTTTTGACAGGAAAACGGCGATGAGGGCGTTGGGAATAAAGTAAAGCAGTGTCAAGAGCGTGATCCAGAAGTTGTTCACAATCTTCCTCCACCGTCTTGTCTTTGGATCCAGTGTCAGGTTCTTCCAGATAATGTCCTTTGGCTTGGGTGCAAGCCGGACAGTGGTTCCTTTGACATGCTTGCTGCGGGCATTGAATGCTACAGTATGAGCCGAAGTGATGTTTTCGTAACTGGCAAAACCATATGGAAGAGCATCGCGCTTATCGATGGACTCGCGGACTTCCTTGATCTGAGCCTCGAGTCGTTGGATGCGAGCTGTCAGGTAGTCGATGGCGTCGACCTTTTGTTTCTTGCCCATAAACTCTGGATCCTTCTTATGCGGAGTGCACATGGGGCGCTCGGCCGGCAGTTGAGCCGGGTTCTTCAAATACTTTGCCAGGACATTCTCAAGTTCCACAACTGCCTCCTCATGCTCCTCGATCAGATCAGGGACATCCTTTACGTTTCGTCCAATGGATACGCGTGGTACATCCGGGGTGGTCTTCAGGGTATCTACAATCTCAATGATACCTTGGTCGCTGCGAAAGCTACGGCTAATGTCGGTGATCATCAAGGTCCGGGCATGGAGACTGTTCTGATAGTCTGGGCTTTCGAGATATTGGCGTCGCAGACGGTGCACCGCGCGATATGTCCACCAGAGAAACGCACACACTGTGATATCCAGGATGTAGGCAAAGACAACAAAAGCCCAAAAGACTTGACCAGCCAAGTCTCTTGGCGTCATGAGAAAGATGATCCTGGAACTAATACTACCTTCAACTTTTTTTTGGGTTGGTACTGAACTGGCAACATTGACGGGGACGATGATTGCGCAGCCTAGGAAGGCGAGTACAATGAACATGTTCCTGCACATGCGGGCAAAGCGCAGAAACAGCGTGGCATCCAGACCAATCTTGTCGACATATTCGGGCTCGTTTGTTTTGAAGACTGGCTTGTACCAGGCAAAAAGGCTCTTGTCCAGAGGCGGCGGTCGGTGCTTTTCATCCGTATGACGGAGGCGGGGGGCGTAAACGATGGTATTAAAGGGCCGTAGAATTAAAAAGGCGACAAAAAGGGCGGCGGTAATGCCAAACGAGGTGCCGATAGCGACAAGAACCGAATCTTGTGATACCTGGAATTGTCAGAGGATCTCTGGCGGGGAAGAGGGAGCATGCGACATACTTGAGCACCGAGTGGGTTATTCTGCATCAATTGCTCAAACTTCTCTTCCACGCTCAGGTCCCGCCAGAGCAGTGTACTACGGGGAATGGAAGCCATAACGAATGTGGGAGTTGTTGTGAGAGGGCGTGTAGCGAGAGTTGTTTAGTCGAACATGTGCGGGCGCACTGTATACTGGAAAGATAACGAGGGGAGAGTGTCAGGTGGGAGGCTGCTCAGTGCATGTCTCTGGCCGATGGTCACCCCGTAGAAGCAGACGATTAGCAAACTACAAAGGTGTTTTCTAGACGCAGCAGGATATGCTGCGATTGGAATATTCAAATTACGCAGGGAGCAGTATAAACGATAGGGAAGGTCAAAAGAGCGAGAAGACAGAGGCGTGTAGTGTAGTTGCAGAGTCTCCAGGTGGTACAGCGAAATGTTGCGATCGGCGGCGAGGTGCCTGCTGGCCCCGGGATGACGATTGAACCCCCCTTCGCGGGCGGATCCCTGTCACATGTCCAGGCACGCCCGCCCATTCGTCGACACAGCGCCGCCGTTTGACGCCGACAAGGAAAAGGGAAAAGGGTACGCGGCAGGCCAAGGCAAGGCTTGCGGCTGTCTTAATTTTGGGGTTCCAGGCCCTGGTCTTTCGCTTGGATGCCATCGCAAGCGCCTTGGAGAAGGGAGCCGCCCGTTCGTTAGGAGAAGTGATCGTCCGGAGACGCCTTTTCTCGTTGCTTCCCTCTTTGCCGATGAACCGTAGGGGAACTGGAACAAGTCGAAGAAAACTATCGTGTCTTGCACCGCCACTCGGCTGCGGCACAATCACTCGCCGCCGTTGATCCGTCGGAAATGGGGAGGGAGGGGGGCTTCGATTGCCCGACCGAGATGGTACCGTCCCATGGCTATTGTTCATATTTAACAGGGCGACCAGCAACCGTTGTTCCGGATAAGGCTGCGGTTTCCTGGTTTCGTGTTTCAGGCCACACCACAATCACCGCCATCTTTATGCTTCAAGGGGTGGGTTTCGAGTGCACGTGGCGCTGCCTCCTTCATTGGCCACTCCCCATGCCGACTCTTCCGGCCCATCATCAACATGACCAGCTCACATTGAACAAAATGAGCTGGCACTAAGTAATATACGCTTGCTTCAATCAGCCAGCACAGTTTGTAAATCTAGTAACACTCCTGTTCGTAACCGCCATCATGCTCAAGTTGGTAGTAGCATCTCACGTCATCTTACACCATGGTACCGAAGCTTGTTTGTTTCTAGAAAAGGTTAAATTTCTTTCCTAATTCATACCAAATGCCATCCTTTGTTCGTTCCTTTAGCAGCACTGTCTACCGCCATTTTTGTTTTTTTGTCATCTCAACACCAAAGAACCCAAATCCTTCCCACTTGCTCAGACTATTCATCCGCTTTTTTTCTTCGTTCGCCCAGGACTAACAATATCCGGTGCAAACAAGTCGTCCATGCTGAAGCTTTTGACCGACCTTGCTTCATCCGCCCCGTCTCCTTGACAAATGCTTTGCTCATACAGATCCATCTCCCCGCAAGAGCGAATGGCACTTGGCAACACGTGCAGCGGCTTCTAAGCGCCACCCGCCGCCTTGACGAGATCGTGCACCTTCCTGGCCAAATCGTCGGCCTCAGCTCGTGTTTCGGCCTCTGCGTATACACGAACTGCGTCCTCGGTACCACTGGCACGAGCAAAAGAGCGCCCTTGGCGCACCTTTTGAACTTCCTTGTCGATCTGCGTCTGGAGGCCCTCAGGTGACGTAAGTTTTCGCTCGGCGTCCGTCGTCTTGAAGATCCTTCGGTCCTGCACTTGCACCTTGAGAAGGCGATTAGGCAGGTCGCTGTATGTCGACAGCCACTCTTGCGGGCCCCAATGCTTGTGTGCGAGAACGACCTCGACGAGCAAAAAGTCAGAGAGCGCGTCTCCAACTGACTGGTTGATGAGGTTGATGCATGCACGAAGCACATCGAGAGCCTCCTTCTCACCAGGGTTACGAGGCTCGTGCTTTGCGATCGTATCGAGCGTGTCAGCAGAGAAGATGACGGTGCCGTGGCCGTTGGCCTCAAAGTAGACACCAATGTCCAGCTTTTCAGCCGCGTGGTGCAGGTACTTGACACCGGTAGGTGTGCAGTCGACCTTGAGCTTCAGTGTCTCTTCGACATACTTTGTGGCGGCGCCGTTTGCATATGCCGTTTGAACAACTCCAATAGTAAGCTTGTCGGCAAGTCCGCTCTGACGCACCGTGTCGCCTAGGAACGAAGCAACAAGGGTTGCGATACGGTCGCCATCGAGCAGGCGGAACACATTCTTCTCGTCCTTGAAGTAGTACACGACACGGTCAGCATCACCGTCAAGCGAGCAGCATCGGTCCCCAGGGCCAGCCTTTGATGACGGGGGTGCTCGCTGGTTGGTCTTGACGAAGTCTGCACCGCACTGTGTCCATGCTCAGTAAAAGATCTGCTTTGAAGCAACGCACCACTTACGTCAACGTTCAGACTCTCGGGCTTGATGACATTGTCGTTGATGACAAAAATCTCGAGACCGCCCTCCTCCTTGGATGGCAGATGCTTGATCAGCTCGTTCAACTTGGGTCCACCAACACCGTTGGCGCAATCGACCGTCAAGCTGCCTGAAGGCTTCTTGCCACGCAGGGCTTCCTTGAAGGCTGTGCCAAACTTCTCATAGTAGCCCTTTTCGGTAGGCTCGCCATAGGCGTCTGGTGTGCCCTGTGTGTTGAGGCAACGAACCATATAATGCAACTGGGGTGTGGTCAAGAACCCATAGTCCTTGGTCTCGGCGCCGGCGCCGTTGAGACCATCGACAAGGCATCCGAGTAGCCTTGATCCTGACGCCCTCGTGTCTCGGGCTACAACGACGCGAGCAGGGGTGCTGAGATCGATCTTGTGCTGGTCCGCAATCTCTTGGTAGTACTTGGAAACGTCTTCTGGCGTGGCCTTGTTTGCCATCTCAGTGCTGATAACCTCCCAATCTTCCTGTGTGATTTATTAGATCGTCCGCTATCGATCGTGTCGCGGTCCGAGCAGTGAAAATAGACATACCTGCAGCATGTTGCCCTAGGTAGAGTTAGTTTTTGTCACTGCCACATTCCTGTACATGAAACTTACCATTGGCTCAACAAGCTTTACACCGTTATCCTGAGGTGGGTTGTGGGAAGCCGTGATCATGACTCCGATCCATTTTCCCTTGAGTGCCCGTGATCGGAGGGCTGCAATCAAACCAACGCGTGTCAAGACGGAATCGAGGACATCACTGCGGTTGTCAGCTCAGTTCTGAGGGCGCGGAGTGCGGGGTGTTGGTGGGCGGCGAGCAAGGATCGGCTGGTCAGTTTGAGGGGTGTCGTACGCTTTTGTTCGGAACTATAAATACTCAATCAGCTTGATGACTTCGATGAACTGAACTCTGTTGGTTCCTACCCCGGCAGTGCCATATGTGTACACCAGTCCCTCTGGCGCAGGGTGCTTCTGCGCAGCATCGACAATTGGGTCAGACATGATGCTTATTTGATGGCTTTTTCCAAAAAGGTCAAGCAGTGAATGCTGGTTAGGGGATAAAGAATCGACGAGAATACAGACAAGACCGATGCTGAGATTGACAGGTAATGGCCTCAGAGCGGGGAGCGTGGCTCTTGATGTACAGCAGTGTTGTGCTGAGGCAGATGCAGGCAAAGACCCCGCCCACGCAGCTAGCAGGGATGTTGCAGGGCTGCTTCTTTCCACTTCGGATGACGTTGCACTCGTACCTGGCTAACCATCACCCACCTCGGCTTCAGTCTATTCTTAGTTGCACACCGTCAGCCGCGTAACAACCTTTGGCTGAACCAAATCACTATTCCACGCCAAATCATAGTCATTGCTACCCTGTTTGGGCTACTGAAATTACCTTTTGCTTCTGCTGCAGCTACATACCTTGGCCCAATGCGGGGTCGTTAGATGGGCGGAGAGCTTGACCGCTCCTCTCACTGTACACTGCCACTGCGCGCGTTACAACCCTAGCATCTCGAGTGGAGCCGCCCGATGCTACCCGCCAATGGCTTAGTTGGCTGTTCGCAATGCTGGTATCAGACAATAAATTTCTCTCTCTCTGTTCTGTTAGCGGTGACCCCACATGGCAAGACATCACATTCTGCACAATAGTTGATAGCTTGTTTAGCACAAGAAAAGTGAAGTAGATTGCCTCCGCTTGAGCTAAGGCGCGACTGAATTATCTGGGGAGAAAAGTCGAACAAGAAAAGTCCAGAAGAGATATGGCATAGTGAGCCGACCCAAAGACAACACGGCTGCCAAAGAAATAGGACGTGGAATGAGTGAGACCAAATGCCCTCAAAAGCCTTGCGGTCCAAGTCCAGGAAACCTTCCGAAGCCACCGGCCAACACGCTGTGACTAGGAATGGGACTACCGATTTCGCCCAAAGGTGGAGGAGCTGGTGCGTTGTCGCTGAACTTGATGTGCGAGAGCCGGCCATTTTCCTCCTTGTATTCGAGGCTGCCACCGCCGTTGGTTTGCGTCACATCAAGAATGTCGCAAGCCTCCTTCATCTCGTCCATGGACACGACAGGTTCAACCGCACCCCGTGATGCATCAACGTGACGGTGCACTTCTGCAGCGTCGACATAACCTTCTGGGTCGGAGCTGCGAGGAGCTAGCGTCTTGCAGGCAGTGCAGACTATGCGGCGGAGCCAGACAATACGCGGTTCATTCGGGTTGCGCTCATGGCCTCGGGCTGAAAACGGACTGTTGAAGATGTTGGAGGTTGGCGAATGACCCCACGTGGCACCAGAGTTGAACCCCTGCAAAGGTGGTGTTCCCCAGATGCTCCCTCCACCTGGCCCGCCAAATGAGCCATACTGTGAACCTGGAATGTCTGCAAACCCAAATGATGGGGCTCTCACAGAACCGTGTTGCTGTAGGCTAGGCCGTCTGTCAGGCAGCTCGGGCATGTCATCTTCGTCGTCCAACAGGGCCTTGCTTCCAAGATGGCTTGCAAGCTCGTCAATATCGGAGCCCCTGGGGTCGTCGACTGGCTTGACGCTCGAAGGTCGCTGGATGGGCGCTGGTCGCTGGATTGGCTGTGCTTGG